AGCCCCCTGGAACTAAATTGCGGTACCCGTTAGAGATGAGATCTCGATCCTAACAGTCAGTATGAGGATTGTTTAGCGGTTATGGTCGCACAAAGTCGAATGAATGAATCTGCGCCTCACTTACCATGCCCTTCACAGGCCGCTGAGATCGGGATTGCCAGCCGCTGCTCCAGCTTGACAGCTCCACCAAAACCCACACGATCACAACCCTACCAAGCTGCACTTTCAGTGATGGTGTTGACCGGCGCACTGCCAGATTTATTAGTATTTTGATGGTTGAGCAGATAGTGCTAATATCTGAGACACCCAACCGTCACCTTTCGAGTTCGTCACTTTGATCGTGCAGGTCATGGCTATTGGAAGCCTTGCCGGGTTCCTGTTCCGTTTCCATTATTAAGCAGAATAGCGGTGAGAGGTCATGTGCAAATTAACATCGTCAATTGCTCGCCATGATAGCTCCTTGGTCTGTCATTTTGGTGGTGAAGATGGGAATTGGTTCACGGACTATACCCCGGTTTCTGTTGTTTGTGGTTTCGATTGCCAGAAACATGCTCTGAAACAGGCCCCAGGTATTCGTTAGCAGACCTCTCAACCAATTGGCCTATAGTTTGCTTTGTCACGCTGCGCCGCCTCGACCTTGAGGCTCAAAAGTCTTGGCGGGTACTACTAGCCCTCGTGTTCCTTCCTTCTTTCTTCGTTTCTTTTCTTGCCTGTTCATCTCGATCTCTGGTTCCTATATCAAGTTAACCATGAACTACTTAGAGCACAAAACGCATTATGCATGAATACTGGGCATCTTTGATGTTGTCAGCCTGTCGCTCCGTCTTTACCCTAAAACTTCCGACCCTTTTGTCTTCGGGTAACACAACGGTTGGAGCTTCATCCACTTCTCTGATCCTGAGTGTCACAACCCAATCCAAAATCGGTGGAAACAGGGGGTGTGATGTATTTGCCTTGGGGACCTTGGGGGCTTTGGTAGCAATGATATCATACACTGGTCCCAGGCCGCTCCGATGCCCTTCCGAGAACTGTTGTGCGGTTGAGTGCCTGGTAGATTGTTCCAGTCGTTGTGTCATGCTGAAGGAATGGCGTCCGGCAGACTCACTTTTGAGGCTCTGATCCAAAATCCCGTCCGACCCCGGTCCTTTGTTCCAAATATCCTATGGATCAGCCCGTTGAGTTGAGCCCAGAGACATGCCTTGAGCTCACCTCAAGATGTTTAGCCAATGGGTGGTAGGAAAGCGTGATTGCCTTCTTTTCCTTCACCGGAAAATGTTTGTCACCTGGGTTGTGCATAGCCATTGAGAGCTCTTCCTGAGGAGTTGTCACCTCTTGTTTTGAGCCTGAGCAAATCCTGCCGATGTGCCTAACAGTGAGCCTTTGAGAATCAAGTCTGTTATGATGTAGAGGCCATGTTGGGCTAAATATGTTGTCCAGGGATAGGAAGGTGGCTGGTCAGTGTTTATAATGAGTGCTAGCTTCTCGACCGCCTTGGACCAGGCCTCCTGCTTTGATGGCTCTTTGTTTGAGACTCTTTTTTCTAGGCATTTATCAGGTCATGGTGAGTAGGATAAGCGTGGCTCTTAGGTCTTCCTGCTTCAATATCAGCGTGTGTTGGATCGCCCATGGATCTTGGCCGATCAAGTTGGTGGCGCTCAATAGCTTCAGCCTCCGCGGGGTTTGGTGTGGTAGGCTTGCGTGCTGATGGCCGCAGACGCCCAATTGTGGCTTGCCAACATCAACGAGGTATGTCGAATCTTGCTGGTCTGTCCCTTAGTGAAAAAATCGTTTATGTTTGAACTGCTCTGTAGCTGGTGATCTGGACTGGAACCATCAGTTGGGATGTCTGGGAATTGGGGAGATGAACTTGGAGTGTCTGGCAGAGAGTTTCTAGCTCGCGCCTTCCCGAGAGACTCCTGTAAGTTCAGAGACCGCCCTTTCCACTTGGGAGTCGGTCGCACAATTCTTGAAACCGGTAAGAACAGCGGGAATGAGACTGCCTGATCAAATCTCAAATGCAAGTTTTAGCTAAACCGAACAGAGAGAGCGTATGAAAGACGGCGCACAAATGCGAGAAAGAGCGACACGAAAAGTCAGTAGGTACTAAGCTACAAGGCGAGAACGGAAGAATTTGGATGAGCAAATTTCAGCGCAGAGAACGCAGGCAAGTTACCCAAAATGATGGAAGTGAAAGGAGAAAGGTCAGAGAATGCCAGTTTTCGACCGCCAACCAAGATAACCGTCCTAACTCCAAAAAAAGCATAATCAAGTGCGCCAGAAGATGAGGAACACAGGCGCGGACAGAAATAGAAAGCCACCAAAAAGAACTCTATTTTATTGATTCCTAGCTTAACTGCTTGCTATTCTCCTTGGCAGAACACCAAAACTCCAAACTTGAACTTGCGTGCCGTGATATGGATGGTTGACGTGAGTCGAGAACGGGATCTAGAGATAGGAAATCTCCATGACTTTTTAGATGCGTGAAAAATGACCGGTCGAGCTCCAGGAAGATGGTGCGGTGTTAGAGTTGGCGATGGAGACAAAAAGCCGAAAGCGCCGCGGAAGGTGGTTCTTGCTCTTGGTCGTTCGTATGGGGCCCGCCGGTGAGTTGGTATAGGCCGGTACGTTTGATGATTTCCCGGCCGTGGACTTCTAACGACTCATCGAATACGACGAGTACGAGGGTACTGACACATCGCGGACAGGATGCGACTCCCCGGTGCATCCGTTCCCGCACCGAACATGTCCACATAGACCATTGTCTCCAACGCACTTGGTGACCCATTCCGAGTTGTTGAATTTACATTGGCAGCAGATCCATTGCTTCAAGGTCGAAAAAGAGGATCCTCCCTATGAAATGTCAGCACTGACCCAGTTCCTTGTTGTGGAGATGGTGGCGGACCTTGTTGGAAGAGCTGCAGTTGTAGGTGGAAGGAGGCATCTTGAAGACGCGGGATGATTCTTGATATGACGACTGACGGTGATTCTATGGAGAGCAGACGAGTGTATCTTGGGCGTGTGACTAGATGGAGACGAGAGACTCTGATCTTTGAACCCATTGAGACAGAGATCTTTCTTATATCTCGAGGTCATGGCTCTCACCGTCACCTCTTTTCCTTCCGAAAAGCCTATCCAAAGGCGGCATTGCCCGCGGGACTCCAGGCTCCCTCTTGTCCTCCTCATTGTCATGTTTTCGGCGGCGAGTATGGCCACGAGAATGCCTGATGCTTCATAAAATTCTGTTTGAGTTACCGGATTGGCGCCTGGAGAACCCTAGTTCAAGTGGAGTTGTGATGTAGGCGTACTGCTGGACACAAGCCATCAAAGAAGCAATAATATTCCATGTCTTGTGCTCTGCAGGCGGGTCAATCTTCTCGGTGAGGTCAGTTTTCCACTGTAAATGAAATTTGTGTTAGCAGAGATTGCAGAGCTATTCGTCGACGGAGGTATCAAGACTTACGCAGCCTCTCTTCACCGACCGATTATAGAACAAGTACATAATTTCCATGAGCATAATAAGATTAATCAGACGGTTTCTGAAGGTGAGTGACGCATTGGAAATTATCCCTCGCTTCGATCACCCAGTCGTTGTGAGGCCATGGCGGAGGCTAATGATGGTCGCTCGCCCTTAGGAAAACAAAACACTAAGCCACGTTCTCCGTACCATACTTTTGGCCATCGCTCATGATCCATGGTTAAACCGCGGGTATCGAGCTCTTTAGATTGAAGCCGGTTTGCGCTTAGACTGAAGCGTTCTGTGACAAGTCTGACCGAGTTTGTAATTCCATGGAAAAAGCCTGTCCAATGAGATGCAGTCAGTGAAGGCTGTTCTTAAGCAAAAGCGCACCAAGCAATGAACACAAAAGAAGCAAACTTGCCTTATTCTGGGAGACCTACCATTTTTGTTGGGAGACGACTTGCTCAAATCTTATGACTTGTAAACTTAGTTTTGTGGTCAGATATTGAAGCAGGGTGCCGTGGATTGACCTAATGATAGGCCTTTTTGTCCATTACCATACCAATGTGGGCCAATCAAGCCAGAGTGTAGGTAACTGCTCGGATGAACGACTCCTATTATTGCGGTGGGAATCGTGTTGAACTATTACTTATCTTCAGACCAAGTTTAATCACATTGTAAATGGTGTTGTTGGTGAATCAATTCCTATTGCATTCTAGGTGCATGTGTATCGACAGGCGCTTGTTTGTCGAATCGGATAGCATAAGCTGTCCATGAAAAAAAGTCCGTAACAGTCATTGAAGGTTTAACGGCGTATGCTCATGTTCGACAGTACGTGCCATGGCATTCGATCTATAATCTGGTCAGAACAGCAACGCAACCTCTGAAGGAGAACAAAACTTACCTATAAGTTCTCCATTGACTCCCATGACCCTGTCCCATTTTTTATCCAGTTCTACGTCTCAAATATCCTTCGACGTCATCATCGTCGATATCGTCGACACTATTTCTACGGAAGGATGTAAGGTTCTGTCAGTGAAAACTGACAGCTGGGCCTATCCCGCAAGTCAAGTCGAACATTTCGAGCGGGGTGATTACCATTTATACAAGACGTCAGGTCGTCAGTCACAAGAAGCCGTCATTCTGGTAGCCCGCAGAGCCTCACCCCGCCATAGACCATAGATGGCCTTTGAGGGTTTGCAACTGCATATTCGGATGCAGTCAATTACTCCCGCGGGTTTTTTGCTCAATGCCGCAGTTGTCTGCCAAACACAGCAACATCCCGATCATGCTGTTCGTACTGCCAAAGGAAGCCTGACCGAGTTCCTGATCAAGCCTCATGTGCATTTCACATGAGGAAGATAGCGGTCATTATGATCGAGCATGCGAATTGTACTCGTCGAGCCGAGACCCCCGTGGCAGAATGGCCGGTTGTCAGCACGTTGGTTCGAAAGTGTAAACAGCTCAGGTTGTTGCTATCGCCAAAAGGGAATTGCAGCGTCTCGAGGCAGAACGCTGAGCCCCGAAGTCGATACCTAGCGAGACATGCGAGCGTTGGCACCTGAACGTGAAGTACCAGTAATAGCCAGCACGCAGTTTAGACAGCCGCGATCGTCCATGATGATCTTGTCTACGATGGTTATACTGTTTGGTGGAGTCCGAAAAAAACAAGGGGGATGGCTTGCAGTTGGAATAAGGTTAGATGGCCGTGGCCAACCCCAACCCAGGAGCAACAGTCATCTGAAACGTCAAACTTCAGATAGGATTGGGAGATGATGAGATATTGGGTGATTGCGTAGAAGATGCATGGGGAAAAACCAAATGCGACTGAAAAGACATGAGAATCTCGCAGGCCAATGCCTAAATTCTCCAAATCACGTTGTGCATGCTGGCCCTCGATCCTTCCATTCGGGCTCCTGTGTCGACCATCCGGGTGAGTCCGTCACACTTGCCAAAAAAACACGGAAACATCATGTCCCAGAAGGTGAGAACGCCTGCATTCCAGGCGAATTTTGGCGGGCACTTCGCGCTGTGTCAATAACGGAAGGCAAAGTCCAGATGCACTTTGCGATGCGCAGGACAGTGCCTGCCACGGTATCAAAACCCAGTAAAAGCCGGTAAGGTAATAGCCCCCTACGTCATTGCTGATAATGAAAGAAAAAAGAATGACAAAAGCCCTTTCCGCACCACCACATCACAGTGCTCTTGCATGTTTTATACCCAACAGCATCATATCTCGACCTTATTGTGCGCAGTTAATTTGATTCCATATTAAACTACGATTGCGTCCGCAAAGCGAGCATCTATCCTTTCTTAACTCGCACCAACAACCACAAAAAGTTGGCGATCACCAACCCACCACCGGCTCACGGACTTGCATCTGCACACGGCTGCTTCGACGACCAAATTCTTGCATCACTTGCACTGCGCGCTGCTCGATTGTGTCAGACAACATATCACCTCAAGATTTCGAACCTACATAAACTTGTACGATCACTTTGCAAGTTTCGCGTGGAAACAGCAACTCTCTTCCACTTCTCAACGACGAACAAGATAACAAAGCCCACTTGCCAAGACTAGCAACATCATTTCACTAAAACCACCACCAAAATGGCGTTCGGAGCCGGTCTAACTTCGAGCAAAAGCTACCTCTATTTCTCGACACTGCACTTCTTAGCCTTTGTCTTTGCTGTGACTGTTTGTGGTCTCTATGGTGTCGAGCTGGACCGCGCAAGGAAGGCCGACAAGTACGCAGATTCGAAATGGGTATGTCACACTTTCATGTTCTCCCAACAAAATCGACTTTCATGCTAACAGTAGACGTACAGGTATTCGCGGTCGTTGTTGGCGGCCTGTCAGCTTTGAGCTCTATCCTCTTCTGCATCCCGTTCATCCTCCGGTTCGCCTTCAAGTGGGTGTGGGACTTTGTGCTCTTCATCCTCTGGACCGCCGTCTTTGGCGTTTTTGCAAACGTACGTTCCTTCTCCAATATCTCCCATACCAAACGTTGACCAAAAGACTAACTGATATTCCAAAGATGTACATCCACGAGCACCCCGAGGGTAACAACGATATCCGTCGGATGAAGCACGCCGTCTGGGTGGACCTTGTCAACATGCTTCTCTGGCTCGTCATCGCTGTTTCTGCGTTGGCCTACTGGTTCAAGCATCGCCATACCAGAAGCCAGTTTACTTCTCGCGCCATCGTCTAGAGGGATCTAGATGTCGTGAAGCACAGCTCGACAGGACTCGAGGTTGGCATTACCGATTGGTCAAAGGATACATTAATAGATTGATACCCGGGGGACAAGGTACATGGCGTTTAGGGTTTGTGTACGGGATCTTAATATAGGGAGGGTTCTGGTTTGGTGAATTGGGCAGTTTCTTCGGCTCTCAGTAATAAATTCCTCCTTATCATCCCTCATTCCTTGAATCACTTCGGGAGTGTGCCGTAGTGATCGTTCTACAAGTCGCAATATAAATCAGCTTCAACAGGAGTCAGTTCCTACACATGCTTGCCCCACCGAGAGGCTCAACAACCTGCCGCTCTGCCCCATCCATCCAGAGGTTCGTCTCAAAGCAGACCCGTCCTTATGGATCACTCACGTACAATGCAGATCTCCTCGTGAGCAGAAGTCATAATCGTACGGTTAGGTTGCAGAGTTTTTAAGGCATGAAAAAGAGCACACATTCAAATTTGCGGTATCCTCAGCAGAGTCATGTAATGACGTCATGCTGCCAAACATATTGGCTACTTAACACGCTCCCCCGCTCCCTGAAAGCATTCGGGAATGCTGCCCGATGGCGCCACGAGCAAGGGCTTCAGGGTCAGGGACCACTAGGGTCAAGGTCAGGAGCGACCCTGCAGCGGTCAAGGGAAGAGAACAAGTTCCTAAACAGAAACCTAAACAAACAACCGGCAAGGGAGACAAAACACGTCGAAATATCTTCGCGGGGACCATTCGTTCAGAAAGATATCGGATATTTAGCTCCCATGTATTGATCCACACAACCGCCCTCTCAAAGTCAACATGGGCAGCGGTAAACAGAAGCTTTCTCCACGCGATCGTTCTATAGCGAGCACGGCGGGGTTCAATGGTTCTGGCACCACTTACACGGCAGTTTCCAGGTTTACACCTCTGCCGGCATTTATCTTGTTAGCGTGGTAAATTAAAGATCTTTCTGGGGATGGCAAAGCCTTATTTATAAGGTAGCAACGGGGAAGCTGATGTACCTCGATGTACCTTTCCTAGTAGTTTCTGTAGCAAAATACATCCTAAATAAAAGTAGAACTTCTAGGTATTTATTAATACTTAAGCATTTTTTTATCCGGATTATTACTTTCATTATTGTATAATATTTTGAAGTTTAGCTATCATTGACCTTTTGAATTTTTCTTTTTACTTTTAAAAAGGGTTCTCCTTAATCATCACAAAATCAATGAAATTAAATTCAAATATTCAAACTAAGCTTGGCTTATCTTCGGTGTTACCTGAAAGGTCGTGAGTTTAAATCTTGCTCCTCTCACTTTCATTCGGGTTTTAAAATCGGATGGAATCTCTCCTGCCTTTCTAGTCATAAGAGATGTTAAAGATGATGTCAGACTTACTCTAGTCTTTAGCTTACCTATAGGTACACGTAACTAGGCACGTGTAAAAAATCTCTTTCTTGGGCTTAATAATATTAGTCGTGGTATTACTAAGCTAACCAATAAGAATTCTCAAAATTAGTGTCACAGGTTGGCATTAGCTATATAGTGTGCATTTCAAGTTCTGCCTTATAAGCAGAACATTGTCCTATCTTTTGTAGATTTGGCTGTCTAAGCATATGCACTCTAGCCTATCATAATTGGAACCTTAATAAATCCAATTAACCAATCACTATCTCTCTTACTAAAAATCCCAGCTTCACAACGCCTTTCAGGCAGCTGACCAGCCAATTAGCAGAGAAATACAGTACCACGAGTAAGATCCTCCTCCTTCACCCCTAAACCTTAAAGATAGAATAAAAGAAGAATCACCCAGCGTATACTTGAGGCAACCGAAGCGTAAGATGGGGAGGGGATAGGGGAGAGGGAGGGGGAGGGGCGGGGTCTCAATATACCAGTCAATCAGAAGTAACGAAGTTTACTAGGACGGAAAAAAAAAGATAATGATAAGAACGGACGACAAATATCAAAGCAACCACAGCCTCCTGACTTCCCATAGTGAGACGTGATGAAAGTTCAGATTTAGGGTTACGGTTGGAAATAGAGAAACTGAGGGTTTTCATCTAATATTCAACAACACAGTGTTTCTCTTAGACTAAAAAAGAAAGCAGCACCACTTACCTATTAGATAAGCTATTTAAATAGTTTAGCATGATAAGGTAATACATATATACCTCCTTGCCCTCTGCGAGATATCTGTTTCCAGATATTTACAGAACTGTGAACTCTTAGTGTGTAGTGATGAGTTTGCGGGCTCACTCTCGTAGTATTAAGCCTAACTCACTTCGTGAGCCTGGTTCCCTTCTCTGCCTCGTGAGCCTTTTTGCCCTTGGGGTTGCCCAGTCTATGTGACAAAGGTAGAGTTCTGGGCTTAGAACAGTAGTTCAATTCAGCTAATAAACTACTTTGGTCTTGAAGGCCTTGTTGATTCTCTAAACTTCTATAAGAAGGCTGGGCTTTAAGATCTTCTTATACTAAAAGGAAATAATACGTATCTAGTACGTACGGGTTCTTCTCACCTGAGGCTCTAAGGCACTTAACGATCTGCATACATATAGGTCTTTCTCGTATGACACTAGGAGTGTAGCATATGTCTGTGTGACAGTCTAGCTCTTCTAGATTAGTTGTGCTACTAGCGCTCTAGTTAGCCTATGTGTTCTCTGAAGTTCATAGCATAACCAGAGGGCACGTTATGTACAATTTGATTAACTTAGACTAAGAATAAGAGGCTGAAGAGAGAAGAAATTCTAAAAAGGAAGGTTCAGTGCCAGAGCTGAGCTTTATACTTAGACTACAGGCAACAACCAGTGACAGTTAAACTCGTGAATAGTATGACCCAATTAAACAGCATCTATGTGAATGGGAATCTTGATAGCAGGCATATGACAGCTAAGATAGTGTCAGCCATCACAGTTTTCTTAAGGCCGGAGGATGATTTAAAAGACTTTGCTTTAATTAAGAGAAAGCCCTATAGATAAATGCTTTGAGGATCTTTTGCTGGAGGAAGAAAATAACTCTATTTTATTTGGGAAAATGAGTTCGGGAGAATTACAGCGCATAATGTTACGAACTTAAGCAAGTACACGGATTAACCAGGCTGTTGGGATGTGGCAGCCCCGCTCATGATTAAGACCATATAACCTAAGACAAAGATTGAACTAGAAAGCGCATGCAGAGTGCTCACTGAAGGGCAGCGCTCACGGTAAGCAGGATATTGCCAGTGAGCGGACATACAACATCCAGTAGATAGAACTACGGGGCTCAGTAGAGCAGCTGCAGACAGATATCTTGCAAAGAGCGAAGAGGTATAAAGAGACGATTAGAGAACTTAGATTGTCAGATAGTTTATATCATAGGGCTGACGCCCAGGAGTGTCTGCCTGGCTTGAACTCTATACAAGCCAGGCCTGCCCTCCGGTTGAGTATACTCCTGGGGTACGCTGCACGAACTACATTTCTGACTTTAACGTTTTTAGCACCTTCGATATCCGTACCTCTCTTGTGTATTTAGCTGTAAGCTCTATGCCATACTAGTACAGACTTCTCTTTTCCTCTTTGTCAAATATTATCACTTTTACTAAGGCTTGCCTACGTGTATACCTCGTAGAACTCTTACAGTTTGACAGTAGTCAATAGATCATTATCACCAAGACCAGTATTACAAACATACTTGTTGTAAACATTTTAGCTTTACTAAACAGCACTAATTGTTATTAGCTTTAGCTATCCCACTTAAGCAGATCAGACTGCTATTTGTTATACATAAGTATGTTTTTTTTCATCTTTTTAATAATTACCGCTTTCTTTCGGGAATATTAAGATCTCATTTTTTAATAAAATAATATTTCTTCTTATGGTGCTAAAATCATCAAAAAAGCAATTAAAGAAATAGATATCAACCTTTTAAGTAAGAAGAGATTCCTTGCCTACTCTCCTAATTTAGCGCTCATCAAGAACGTTTGGCTGTGGATGAAATTATTCATTAAAATCAATTATGATATTCAATCTCTAACACTTAAAAAGCTGAAAAAGGTTATTTAATTTGCTTAAGATATAATTTTGGAAGAGTTCCTTCTTTGACTAGCTCATTCAACGCCAGAAAAAATAAGGAAGTAATTAAAGAAAATGATGATTTTATTAATTTTTAATTATTTTTACAATAAATAGTTATTTACATTATATTAAAACACTGGTTTTCTGTAGCACCACTAGCGCCTTGGCTGTACCAAGCTAGCAAGTTTAATACCGGCAGAGGTGCATAAGAAATCCTGGGCCACCAATCTTCAACGATTGAAGCCTTCAAGTTAGGTTTTCTAAACTTCCTTATTAAATAAGGTTCAATCCCGGCACGAGTGGCTCATCTTGTGTGTTGCTTACGATTGTCCTGGCCCACGGAAATAGCGTGGAAATCCAACGATGAGTTCCCTTTCAGTGGGAGCAGTTCAACGAAGTTTGAGATTAGCGGTCTCACGGTTATCTCAGATGCGAGATACGCGCTACCGAGAAAAGATCGACGAGGACTTGAGCACTGAGCCCCCGACTCCCCAATTTTTTTTCTTTTTCCGCAGCCAGACACCTCCAATCTCCTTCCTTGAAGATACTAGACGCCCTTTATCCCAGGAGGTTTCGCTCTCTTTTTTCCCCAACACGGTGGTGGTTGGCACACTTTTCTGAACAAAGCAATCACGGCACACGCGCGCAAGCACATTCGGCACGGTCTAACGCCCCGAATGCCAACCGGGAACAGAAAGAAAAGAGAAGGATCAGCGGATGATCGGCACCCAACTCCCGCCGGCCGTTTCGCCATCCCATCCGGGGAGGGGAGCAACACACCACACGTGCGGAACAAACCAGGGACCGGGGCAGGGCACCAACAAGTTTAGGGGTTGTGTCCTTGGAAAACCATGGACGCCTGACGGTCTCCCATCCCAGTGAGGCGATTCGCTGGTTCATGTTGGCTATGGAGCTTGGCGGGTTGGAAACCTGGGGACACTGGGGTTGGAGCTAACCTATAGAGAACAGCAAACGCTACGCTGTAGGGCATGGCAAGTATCACGACGACGACGACTCCTCAGTTCACCATGCACCCTCAACTTCTTCGGCATGGGCGGAAGGGGAATACCTATCCTCGAGAAGCAACATCGTGTCCGGGGATTGAACACCTCGAAACGTGATAAACTCACTGCTAATCATGCTCCGGTGACAGGAAAGCCACACCACGATATCGTCCGTCACAAGCAGATATCAACTCGAATAGTCGCTACCCAGCGGATGCTGCCGCTGTGGACCACAGCATCAGAACAATCAAGACACTGTATGGATTATGGACACTGAGTGGTTGAACTCTCGAACACAACCTTCACGAGGCGAGCTCGTTCACGGCGGCTACCTCTTAAAAATGAGGGTCGGGTGCGAGACAAGGACCACGGGATAACATCAGCAGCTTTCCTTTCTTCCCTCGTGGTCCCAACCCGTGAGTAGGCGCCTAGGTTGCCGAACACCCGGGTCTGATTCTTCTGGTTGTTCTCTTTCATCCGTTTCGGGATCTTGCTGGGAGCCGGGTACCGTTGACATGGTTTCAAGTATACTCATCATAGAAGCGGTTGATCATCGGCATTACACAGCATATATTCCATGCAGACGACAGATGGTCTTGTACGACGCGATTGATAGGGAAAAGGCCACAGAGGGTGAGCAACTTTGACGCCACATTGAGTCCTTACCTAGAAATAGGCCTCACTTCTGTTCGATTTAGGACTGCTGCTGCGGCTTCTTTCTTTCTGCAAGCTTGTCACAAACCGGAAGTGGTGGTGGTGGTTTCCACAGCCTGTCGTACGAGACTTGCAGCGATCAGCATGGTTGGGAGCAGGGAGGGGTGGGAAAAGCGGGAAGATTGATTGTGTTCCATTCTTCCAGAGCAAGATGGTGGTGTTACAACCACTGGACACTTTCTTTGAAATGCGACGACCCCGATTTGTGAGCAATAGCTCTTTCTTATCGTTTCGAATTTCCAAAGTTGTGTTGATGTTTGATGTTTATACAGGGCGAAGAGCCATGTCTTCGGTGGTATTTACGCTGTATCATCTACTGTGCGCCCTATACCAAGCTGTTGGGCATTGTATATTGCTAGTCGGGTATGGTGATCCCATTTGGTGTGGCGGAACGGGCTACCACCATCGGATTTGTAGCATTTCCCATGATTCACGTTAACCGGATATTCCTGCGGGCAACAGCCTGTGAACTCTCCTTTTGACAACAACGCCTTAGCTTACGCGTTCAACACGAGCTCTGCCTTTGACGTCTCGGTATTTCGGTGATCGGGTTCCTGAATGTCAGCGGGTTCTTCTTTCAAGCTCGACTCAGTTTCAACGTGGGCAGGCGGGCAGGTTGAATGACTTGAAAGGTGGATCAACGGGAATTCAGACGGATGATTGTATGTCTTTGTCAGGCACTGAACAAGTTCATATGGAAACCAATCCCAGTCATAAGATCAGACCCCTTTTTCTCGCCCATCTGAGATAAGAAACCAGACCCTGGCGGGAGAAAGTTTGCAAACAAGGGAATGTGTGGTGATCGAGAGGAAGCTTGAAAATTCAGGGTTCAGAATGAAGGGAAGCGCTCAAGTAGCGCTTGTTACAGGTGTGATACCTTGAGAACTTGGCGGATCGCTCCCGCTAAATGAGGGACATCGATATTGCCATTCTCGGTTCAGTTCGATTCGCACCCTTCTATCCACTCAGAACGTCAAGTGGTCGAGTTCAGTGGAGATGCCCCCTTCGCTCCTTCCTTGCAGTCGCTCAAAGAAGATCAAAACCTCGAAGATAACAGGGTAAAAAGGCAACCGGTCCGCAAGGGTCAAGGTAGAGCTATGTTCCAGTTCCACATGATTGACACGGTCTAATCGGTTGGTGGGCTGTCCTCAGGTGGAAGTTATGGGGATGATCCTCCCAAAAGTTTTTGTCAGGGACTCCTGCATCCACCGATTCGGATCTTTACAAGAGGAACACAAAACCATCTCGTCTCGCTGCCTGACGGCATTTGCCTTCCTTTTACTTTTCTCTTCAACCTGCGACAGAAAAGCAATCGTTCAACAAACAACACGTTCCGATCAATTTTGCCTTCCTCCCGCAAACCGAACCATCAACCGGTTCCGTCTCACCACAGGGCATGCAGCAACCTTATAGGTATTCAGCGCTCTCTGAAAGGGTGGTGGTTGTCAGGACTGTTGCAGCTTCGCACAGTTGACGGGCCTGCCCGATCCCAGCGAAGGCTTGCATTGCAGCTGTTCACGATACCTTCTAGCGCTTACCGAGGAGCATTTCAGCGCCCATCTCACTGCCTTCACGACACCTGTCAGCAGCCCACGATCCCCCTGAGCCATTCTGCTTTTACCACACCTTCTTTGCAGCTACCGCAGCTGTTAGGTACAAAGGAGGGCCAAGTGGTAACCGCCCTAACCGAGAGGAAACAAGACGACACCAAGGACAACTGCAAACCCGTGCATATTTGAGCGTTGGAACATCGTCATCACGCCTAACCCCATCGAACGGTATTTTCAGGACAGTTTGACGCAAGAGAAGGATAAATCCAGCTGGCAAACGGAAATCACACACCTGACAACCTTATCTCGACTTCCGCCGTATCGCCCAGACTTCTAAACACACATTGTGCAAGAAGCGGCCCAAGCTCCCAATATCTCCGACCTTATTCCGTTGTGGCATACAAGATACTGGCGGCGGTTACCTACCTACTTGCCAATCTTCTACCAAGCGTCTTGCAGGCATTGCCAATTTATCTAGCTGTCATTGTATGCGCTCTTAGATGCCCGGTACGTACTTCTACACATAACCCTTGCTTTGGCTTCAACGATGTTTCGTTATCTAGAGGTGCCGAGGTGGCATCCAAGAGGGACAGGCTGCCATATTGATGCTATCCGCAAGTGCAGCTCTTGGGGACGTTTAGCACATATGCCCGATCAAGCCAAAGGAGCCCTGGCATTATCTGCCAGCTGGATCATCGGCCTTGTATGTTTGACATTTTTGATCAACTTACTGACGTACTTGTATAAAATAAGGCAGTTCATCGTTTACTACGACATAGCAAACTAAATCTCGAAGCCGTCGAACACATCCCAGAGAACCTCCGGATTCCCATTCAGATCGGTTGTGCAACAAACCCTCGTTGTTCACCAGATTTCCGCAAAATCACATCGTAACCAAAAGCTCGAGCTGCGTACAGCCAAACCCCATATTGAAAACATATCTTACACTCAAGCAGCAGCATCACACTTGCTGCCTTTCCGCAATGTCAACTCTTGGAAGCTCGTTGAAACGATCATTCACCCCGTCACAAATCATGCGACCCACCATGCCTCGGAGAACATTGTCCGGTTCCTCACACGGTTCCTGCCCATCTCCTAGCCCCTTGTCTGACGAGCAGTTCGCCTTCTCCGCGGGTAACACGCCCGTGCGGGAGATCCCGCCGTCATATGTGGCGTCTGCTGGTTACAGTTCAAAGACAGGGACACCCAGAGACGCCCTTCTCTTCGGCACCAGAGGTAAGTTCTGTTGTTCTGTAATCTTTCCATCGTTCCCTCCGATCCCTACACATATTTTCCGAGGTGCCGACGGATGCCGCTCCAATGATGTCGCACGGCTTTAGTGAATGGCTTGTTCTTAGTGGTCGGGCCATTCACTGATGCTTGAATCGAGCCGTCATGGAACTTTTCAGGCTTCCTAGCTTCACCTTCAGCGCTGGATCAATGTCCTTGCCAGATCGACATAGGCGTGAGCTGGAATCTGGGGTCTTGCTCCGCAAGCTCATGATGCCCGCGACACTGCAGGGCCGTTAGGCACGACGTTGGCGGGTCTTCTGCCCTGGAAGTCCCTGCATAACCCTTGCGTTGGCAGGTGCCCTGGCATCATCAAAAACTTGGGTCGCCCCACCGAGGAAATGGTGATGCGATACGATGGGTGCTATTGCGCCCAATACCTGCACTCTCAAGTCGTGTAATTCGTGCGTCATGGCGGAGGTTGTGAGAAGGGTACAGCGAGGTGGTCCAAGTCATTTAACGCTTATTGAGCTAACATAATTTTTTTTTCCCTAGAAGTCAGCAGTAAATCGCAAACCACCACCTTCATATCAGAGGGCAAGGATGCGTCCAAAGTCGTAACTCGAAGCAGGCCTATCGCAATCGAATTACCCCCCACCAGGAGACTTAGTACCGCTCCCGTCGAGACACCGCCGTCGCCACTCTCCGCTCGAGGGGATATCCAAGGGTATGTCTGGCTTGTCACAAGGCCTCTGTTGTCTCTCTGTTGCACCTTCGTTCTGTCCATAAAAGAAATGGGTGCTAACATTACGGTAGAGGTTACTTCCCCAACCACGAGGACCCATCAACACGAGTTCATCGACCTCACCCATTCTTCACACTTGATCCGAGCAAGGCGCGCCATAAAGCCTTACATAGAGCGGCAGAAACCACACACTTGTCCGCCCCCTTTACTGATTCTCGAGTACGGATGATGGCCCACGATCGGTCTCACTCTCCCTTGGGTTCCTCTGTCGGTGCCAGCAGGTCGGCTGGTCTGCATACGCCGGTGTCTTCCTACATGCCTTCAGGCGTTCACGACAACATCGCACTTCCAATGGGAAAGTACTACCCAACCAACTACGAGAACCGGAAGGCCAGCAACTCGAGCCAACACCGGAGACCCTCAGCAAGAGCGGATGCTGCAGCAGTTGCCCACTCTGAACCTCAGTTAACATACCGCCGAGAAGAAAACCATCGGCGCACAGGTTCGGATGCTAAGCGCCTAGTCGAACAGTACCAAAGAGACATGGTAGCCCAGGCATCGATGGCGCTTTTCTCAAACGCCTCTGGTTTGTCACCGTCGACCAGGATACCTGACAACACGGCGTTGAAGAACATCCAGCTGGGGGCCACAATGCTTAAGACACATAAGCCAATGTCTCCCAGGCTCGTGCCCCTGGGTAGCCCTGGACCTGTTACCCCTATGGAATTGGACGGCAATGGAGACGGTTACTTGAGCAGAGGAGGCGGCAGAGAAGAGGAGAGGCAACGAAGAGAGACCCAGTCGCCCGGCTGGGACATGAAGTCATCATTTTGAGATGTGGATAGTGTTGGACATGGTTTAACCACCAAGCGCTTATACGCCAGGTTGGAAGCACTCATGGACGTTGCTCAGGATTAAAGGATTCTGTTTCTTTTCGTTTCTGTCATCACCCATTTCCGTCTAGAGGGTGAATGGATGGCATGGCGGGGAAGGCTCAGGCTACATCTCTCCCCTTTTCGGTTGAAGGACATGTTTGTTATTGATACCCCGTTCAATTGATCGAATTAGAAGCGTATGTACACACACTACGCACTTGGGAATGGAAGTTACAGGGGTCTTTCTCATACAGGAGGAAAATGTGTCCAAAGGACAAGTCAAGGATAGGAACCAAACCGGCGTTTGTTTTGTCAATCTTTTTTGCATCCCGGTAGCAAGGAATTTTTAAACAGGGTATTAGATGGGCTTGATTTGTGCTCGTACTCGGTGTCAAAGGGTTCAACAGGCGAATCTGACGGGCGTGAAAGGTTTGAAAGGTGTGCGGATACTGGGTGCGTTGCGATTCAGATCCCACAACAACTTGTACAGTATTCACATCAGAATCCTCATACAGAGCTAAAGGAGCAAGCACAGTCTGGCTGGGCTGGCACCAGCGGCTTGCTTCAGTGGTGATGAAGTATTTTCAGGAAACAAATCACATATATACAAATGGCAACGGTCATCCTCTGGCTGGTCGAGTTGAGGTCAATACAGCGTCAAGTTAGTTGTTAGGACACAGTTAGAATGGCGGAAAGAAAAGTGTCTCCTGTCGATAGGGATAAGATCCGGCCTAAAACATGCGCATGGCGTTACCTACTTTAACATTCTATACTCCCTTTTCTCTTTGTCTCCTTGTCCCATTCTCCTCCCCCCTTTTTCTTTTCTTTTTTTTCTAACTGGTACGATGACTATATACATATTGCTTCATTCGCTTCATAAGTATCAAGTCAAGTAGATAGATACTCTTCCCGCACCACTCAGGCACGTACCTTTTCCCGGATGATTTATTCATCATCTCTAGGAAGAAAGTTGATGACGTTTCGATGGAAGAAGTTTGCAGTGCAGAAGAAACGACCCCTTTAAAGGAAAGTCCCGGCTGGCAACTTTGGTTCGGTGGTATATGGTTGTAGTGGTACTTATGAGACCACCTTCACAGACCTTCCTTCCTTCCTTCCATCCTTCTTCCGTTCTTTGTTATATAAGGAAAAGTTTGATTCAATCTAGTAGGTAGTTTGGAATGTGGATTTTGTAACATCCATTGTAAAAGGATGGAAGGAGATAGACTGACTAGTCAGTCTTTCACATGGGAAGGCCGATCGATCGGGAGAAAGGGGTCTCAGACGAGACGAAGGCATGTTAAGATCATCCATCCATCCATGCTTTCGATGGTTCGTTTGTGATAAAGCATTTGTATGTATCTATAATATGATGTCTTGTGCTCGGGATCTCGGTGTCCTGGGGCTTCATACTCATGTTTATGTCTAGTAGACAGTGGACAGCTTGAATCTGTTCGAACGGGAAGGAGCCTGGAAGTTATCTTCAAAGGCAGGAAGTGAGATGAAAAGCGTTGGTTGCCTGGAGCAAGAATTATGTAAAGGCCCAGCCCCGTTCTGATGGTTCCAGAAAGACAGACGTCTGAGCAGGGCGAGGGAGGAGACTTCCCGCACAGGAGTGAAGTGAATACAAAAGCAACGAGACAGCACAACAAGGTGTTTCGGTTCATGGCCACGTTTTGATGAAGCAAGTCGTTGTCCACATGACTGACTGATTATTTAAAAAAGAAAAAGCAAAAAGCAAAAAGCAACTGGCTGGCTTGGTATAATGATACAATAAATAAAGGTCCACCACTCTGCTAAAGAACGTCGAGTGGCGGCCTTGTGACAGCAATAAGTTTACATGGGAATGAAACACATTAGCACAACAGACAAGAATGACGACCAGTGGACGCTGTGTTTCTCCACCTCAGAAAGTGTCTGTCTTTGTGTGTGCGTGGTGCGTGTCGAACAACCCTCATCATCGACGTTCCCATCATTCGTTTCAGTTCTCAACGCCCCCGCAGACTAATTCTCGTTCGTTTCATTCATCATACATCACATAGACTCACTGAAGAGCTGGAGTGATATGCCACCATAGATAGGCTGCTGTGAATGAACGGGCAACGAAACATCCCTCACCACCTTCACCCATAATCCAAACCAAGAGATCTTACTCCACCTTGGTAGGGATCTTGATCTGGGACCGCTTGCGGTCATGGAAGGGCACACCGTACCTCCAACCAATAGCGTTGCGGTCCCTGCCGTCGTGGCCAACATTCTCGGCGTTGTACTCCTGGAAACGGAACTCGAACCGGTTCGTCTTGACGCGCGTAATGGAGTCCTCGATCGCCTTGAGACGCCTAGCCTCGCGCTCGGCAATCTTGGCCTCGCTCGCCGCCGTCGCTTCGAGGAACTTCTTGTTCGCGTCCTGGAGGGGAACCCGGTTCAACAAATCCTTCTGGAACTCGATGAGCTCGGGAACGCGCAGCTTCTTGTCTACGGGCAGGATGTGGTCACCGAACGCCTTGGCGGCATCCTCGCGCGTGAAATCGCGCGACTCGGAGACGGGCACGAACAGCTGCTGAGTAGTGTAACTGTGCACGTACACGTCGTTGATGGACTCGTGGGGCTTCTGGTTGGGGCCGCCCAGGACGGTCTGGGGAAGCATGTTCATCACGGCGCGAGCGTAGGGGCGGGCCAGGGGCTTGTACTATATGGTTCGGACCGGGTTAGCCGAATGTGTCTTTCGCGAAAGAGAAATGTTTGAATAACGGTGGATGAGATTGCTTCGTTCAGTTGAAAAAGGCTTTGTAACCATGAGGTATGTCTTCAAGACTAATCGAATTTTCTTGTAGTTCATCATATGAAGCAAGTCGCCGTCGTCGCCGCCGCCGCCGGCTGGCCGGGTAGCCGGGGGAGACGGAGACAGGACGGGGTGTGTGATATCCTAACAAGGAGGGGAGGGATGATGAGCTTACCTCCCTGATCCAGCGCTTCTCGATCTCCTTCAACCTGATCACGGCCGCGACCCTGCGCACGTCGACGTTGTACTTGGCGGATACGGCCTTGATGGGCAGACCCTTCTCCATGACATCCTTGTAGATGATCTCACGGGAGCCCTCGGAGAGGACGGGCTGACTCTTGAAGTACTTGTTGGCCGGGAAGGGCAGAGCGTTACCGTCATTGTCAATGCCGCCGAGGAGATTCGGCCCTTTCCTGGTGTGTTCCTTGAATGCGCTTCCCCTCTTATTCAACCAGGTGAACAACCTCTGGCGACGGATGGACTGGCCTTGCGCCGGCGCGGTCGTGGAGAACGCCGAGCATTGCTGCTGATGTGTTGTTGGTTGGGAGGAGGACTGAGGAAGGCTAGATGAGCACGCGGAGGCCCATGTCGACCTGGAAGCTGTACACCTGCTGCTGCTACCGCTGCAGGCGCTGCTCTGAAGGAGGAGAGAGGAGGGAGCGTTGGGTATCCGTGGTGGCATATTGGAAAATGTGTGGGAGGTGAGGAGGGTTGGGTGGGAGGAAAAGAGGTTTGTTGTCCCCAGTGAGGGAAAGCGGGAAATTTTTCGGCAAAGGTGGGTTCAATTGCGCTAGACTCGTCCCATTCGGTCAATGGAAAGCTCCGGTCGAGCCTGGCCCACCCTGCCCCTCCTCTAAGCTTGACCAGCCAACGGGCCGGCGCAATCCTCGGTTGCTCTGCGGGTCTTGCGCGATTCATGCTCACTCGGTTCCTTAGGGTTAGGGTTGCCGCCACGCGTGTCCCTCGGCCAGCTGTCTCGAGCATCAGCATTAACATCAGATACGGCTTCATCCACTCCGGCAACGAGAGCATGTAGATACGTACATGTTGGGAGCTTTTGAATCTTTGCAGATAAACTAGAAACAATGTCTGTATTTGGTGTCAATGATATATCCACACTGCAGATCCTTCGCTAAAACTCGAGTTTATATCTTTGCTCCCACTTGTTGTCTTCCATGTTCGACCATCTTGATCCCTCTCTGCTCCAATCCTAAGCAAGGCAGGCAAACAGCTGCTGACTGATGAGGTGCTTTGAAATATCTAATCGGCGTGCATACTTCTTCTCTTGTTCATCTCGCCACTATAGCAAAGTAAATAACGGTGTGCTGTGTCCCAATGAGAGGTCCATGGTAGAAGATGTGAAAAGAAATATAGCCAAAAACAGTCAGCGCTACCACCGACAACCTAATCCTCTGCGACGCCTCGTATGCATGTTTCGTGTACTTCACGCTACCTTCCGATTTTGAAAAACAATGGCGAACAAAACAGGAAAATATGAGGAGATGTGGACCAGGTTATTGTCCGAATTCGTCTGTTGAGTTGGGCTTCCATTTCCTCGCTTATTTCTGCCTCCCACCATCGCACCTTACCCAAGAACCGATGGTCCAAATGGTCTGGCCTCCAGTCCCTGGAAATAGGTGAACCGATCTGAAAACGAATATTTCCGTCATATTACATCGTTGCGTAACCAGCCACTGATAAAGCCAGGATGCTCCTCATCGTCCTTTCTGTGATCAAAGTCGTCGTTCGTTCCCATCAAAAATTCCATCTAATAAAACTGAACAATAACCCAGAAGAGAAAATAAGATACCGCCAGGTGAAGGGTATATGATACAACCAACCGAAGCCAAAAAAAATGTGTATAGTGATGAACGCCAGTCAGAGTCAGCGTCGGGCATCTCACTTATCGTCGCTCGAGGGCTGATTCGTCTGGGTGGTATGTGGCACCTCTAAAGGCGGCGCCGCTTGTGCTGTGAGGTGTGGGCTTGTGACAAGCTCCTTTTGCGCAGTCGGTTTCCTCTTCGGTCTGGCAACGGCTTTCTTAAGACCTGTTCCGCTGCCGTCCTTAGACGCGACGGCATCCTTTTTGTCCTCGCCATTGCCGGACCCGAAATCTTTCCATTTTCTCCAACCGTCAAAGTCGATAAGGGCTTGCATGCAGCCCCATTCCATGACTTTACGTTCCAGCCAAATGTAGGTGATGGGCTAGAGAAAGCCTCTAGTCAGTAACTGTTTCACACCTTACACAGGGGAGCAAAAATCAAACGTGCACGAGTGTAAGCTTACCTTGGTCAAGAAATCATTGCAACCCGCCGCCAAGGCCTCATGTCTATCACTCTGCAGCGAACTCGCCGTAAGTGCCACGATGATGACGGGACTCTTGAAAAGCTCAATATTCTCAAGTTTGTCCTCCTCCGGCATTACGTCGGGATCGCCACCAGAATTTTCGCCATTGTTTCCTCCATTGTTGCTGTTGGAAAACACACCGATCGAGTTCATGCGTTCGAGCCTTCGGATCTCCCTAGTCGCTTCCAGGCCACTCATGATGGGCAGCTGGATATCCATCAACACTAAGTGGAACCCTCCCTTGCGCCACTTATTGACAGCTTCACGTCCGTTCATAGCGGTCTGCCACCGGACCTTGAGTCGCTTGACGAAAGCCTCAAGGAGTTTAAGGTTAATGATATTGTCTTCTACGATCAAGACGTTAATTGGCGGAACGGCGCTACTGAGCATCCCTGCTGGTAAGGGCGTATGGTCGGGAGTGGCTTTCTTTTTCTTTGGTCTTATTGCCATTGATGTCGTAGGCCGAGGGGAAGCCACTCTGGCTGGGGGAGTAGTGACTGGGTGCTGTGTCGGGATAGCCGGGACCGACTCTTGCACAGCAGCTGGCGGAGTAGGCAAGGGTGGTGCTGGAGGAACATGAGGCGCATGCGAAGCAGACGCCGGGGGGACGGAGACGGCACCGGTCGTGGATTGTTCTGACGAGGCAACGGAATGAGTCCTTGATCGCTGAACCTTGGAAAGAGAGGATTGCTGCATACCATGATTTGCCGAAGCCACCGGAATCGGGGCGGCGTGACCTGTGGCTCCAATTACGTTAAGAATCGTGGGCGACGATGTATGCTGCCTGCCCAGGCGAGGGCGGTCTGGTCGTTCGCGGTACTGGCGGGGCCGTGTCCCTCCGGGAGAGGGGACTTGGGGTATGTGTCCTGTTCCCAAAACAGATATGGTATGAGGATGTGACTGCGTCGTGCCATTAACAGGTGCAGTCATGACAGGGCCTCCTCTGTCGGAGGGTATATGGGCAAGAGCTCCAGGGCCAAAATAATCGGTACCTCCTTCCGACGGTCTGAGTGTCTCTTCATAGTACGTGGGCAAGCCGTGAGGTGCATGCGGAGGGCCGGCCCTAGGTGATTCCTTTGGTGTGCGACGGGGCGGAATGTCAATGACGAGAGCTTCATCCACTGTCTGGCCTCCGGGGAAGTATGCATCCAAGGTCCGGGCCATTGGCTCTTCTGGCCCCAACACACGCTCCTGTCTTTGCGACTCCCTGGGGGCTATCCGCAGGGTCAAGTCGGGGGAGTCGAACTGGCGGCCTAGGGAGTTGGCATATTTCCTGAGGATCATGTCCCGCACGTCATCGACCAAGTCCTCTTCATTGATAGTGACGAGGGTTGCGGAGCTACCCGGCCGCTTGACCCAGATCTTTCGCGTCACCATGGCGGCGCTTATAGGAAGGAGGTTATCGTTGGTGTTGGCACCGGTGTCGAGTTCATCGGTCTGGTTCGCGTCGAGGAGCGTCCGAATGAGAGTCGTCTGGCGACTGGGCAAAAGACTCTGACGTCTCGGTGGGACCGAGGGCCGCGTGGGAACGGTCGACGATGGGCGCGTGGTGGTAGGGCTACCCGGGGTGGCAGTGGGGTTTGTAGACGGCGGATTGGAATTAAGATTGGCAGGAGTCGAGGTCGAAAAGGGGAAGGTCGCGTTTGAGGGAGTTTCTGCGCTTGGGCTAAGGGGTACGGTACCAGCCGGCGAAAGAGGCGCGACCGAGTTGAACGTAACAATGGACGGCGATGGAGCGGCAGGTGTCGCGAGTGGTGCAGGCGTCGGAGGCTGGGAGGACGACAAATTTACAGCCGGGTCAATCAGGCAGATCCTGCGCACAATATCGGAAACGGCGGTGGTGGGAGTGGCAGATTGAGTCGCGGTGCCAGCGAGCGGCTGATGATGGGAATTTTCAATGGGATTCGGATTTGTGTTTGTTGGAGTGGTGGCATCAGGCGAGGCGGCATCAATTGTTAATGTGGGAAGTAGTGTGGATGTTGTCGGAGGCGGTAGAGGTTCGTCACCGGCAGCGGTATGCGCAAGGTCATCATCCTCGTGGATACTGGCAAGGCTGGAAACTCTTGCGCTGCTAATTGAGACCCGCCGCAGATCGCTAGCGGATGTCCAGTCGGAGCCTGCACCAGGGGCAGTGCGATTCGTTACAGAGCTTGCAGGTGGCTGGCCGCTGGGAGCTTTAGCGTCGGTTGCATTGGTTGCAGCACCTGCCGCGGCAGCATTGTCGGCAGCATTCTGGGCGCTTTTCGCGTGTGAGCTTCCTGTGTCGCAATTGCTGTCATTGTCAGTGCCACGGGTGCTGCCGCTGTCAATGTGCCCGGACCCAGAGGCAGCTCCAGCACCAGCACCAGCACCCGCAGGCGCCTGGGCAAAGACGTCGAGATCCGCATCTTCGCCCTTGTCGCCGCCGCCTCTGTTGAGACCGTCGCCATTGGTGTCGTTGGTGTTCGATTCGTGCTGTTTCAGTCTGCTTTCTTCTCCCTGCTCCCCGGTTGTTGTAGCACTTGGTGTCTCGGGCGTGTGCTGGGCGTCGTCAACGCTCTGGATGCTCTGTGCAGGTTGTTTCGGAGAGGCGGCTTGTCGCGATCCTGTCCTTGCGCTGTGGCTCGCCCCGGTCAAGAGAGCCAAGAACCCCGATGCCCTTTCCTTGTGTTCCCCGGGCGCAGCGTTTGCGGCTCCAACTCCCGCTCCCGTTCCCGACCCGCCAGCAGCTTCTCCTCCGCCTCCTACCCGCTTCGGCTCCCGGCCTCCTCTTCCGTCAGCGCCGGAGATGGTATTAGCAGATACCGATGATGTCGGCCGCACGCTCTCCAATGCAAGGTTCTTGTCGCTTTTGGCGTCGTCGTTGGGGCTGTTGATGCTGCCATGGTTGCCGGTGCCGCTGTAGCTCTTGCTGGATGTGAGCAAGGGGATGCCAGAATTCCTCCTGGAAAGCCTGGCTCGCAGCTTGGACTTGAGATCAACCATTCCGCCGTGCAGACGCGTGTGTGAGAGTGCAGAGACCCAACGCACTGCTGCAGTCCGTCGAGGCCGCCGAGCCGCAGCAACGCCGTGGGTTTGTAGTGAGGCCGTGGTTTCGAAAGTTGGCTGTTCCAACTGGACAGCACAGCACGGCTCCGCACGCAAAAGTCGGTAAGACTGGAGCGAGGGAACGACTGAAAAAAGGGGAAGGAGAAAGAGGCGGAGAAGGGGAGGAACGAACAGACGGCGTATAATATGCTGCTGTTCAAACCTGGCGGACGACTGCCGTGGAGGTGCCCTTGTGCCCAACTCTGGATCTGATTCAACAGGCTGCTAAGCAAGACTAGGTAAGCTGCAAGGTGTGAAGCAGATGCGGAGAGAATGCAAGTAGCTAGAGGTAGGTGCTTCTGTAGGGACGCAGTAGGTTCCAGCCAAGTCGATACGGGGCGCGAATAGATAGGATAGAATTGGAACTCGATCCTGTACGGATCTGTACGTGGTAACCCTTTTCAAGACCCAAAGGCCCGCCCGTCCAGTAGCTCTAGCTCGTGGAAGCTCAAGGTCGCAGTCGGCATCCGGGGGTCTGCTGTTGGTCTCGCTCGAATCGATAAGGAGTGGAAATGCTTGGCAACAGTTCGATCGTCGTGGAATCCCCAGATCCACTGGCAGCAAAGCCGGTTGTGTGTTGAAGACGGAGGAACTAGTTGAGTGCCGGGGGACAGGTAACGGTCTGCTGCTGTTCATGTCCAGCCCGTCTAGGCTTCGTGCATTTCTTTTTCCTACGGCGGGGGGGTTTGGCAAATGGCACTAATAGTCGGTACCTAATAATAATACTGTGACCGTTGGAGTTGGACCCATGCCGGCCTAGGTTGACATGCTTGGAATCCGGACAACCAGGCGTGCCAGGGTGGAAGTTGCGTTAGGTTACGACTTGCAACGGACATGGAAGGTGAGTGAAATAGGAGATGTTAGTAGTCAGTAATAGGCTGTAGTGGCTGGTAGCATACCTACCTTACCTATCTCCTCATGTCTCGTCCTCGGTCTGTTGTCTGACGCACCAACGAAAGGCCATGAAATGACAGCAGAAATGGAGGATGCATTGAACATATGCAGTGGAAATGCACGTTATGGCGCGGTCTAGGCTAGCTACAGGCAAGATGTGCATCCGCGCAGCATCCCAACCGCCATGCCATCCGTCGCCGTCCGCTCTTCATTCGCTGGAGGTCTGAAACCTGAGCAGCTGCAGCCATGGTCGTGATCTGGCATAAAACCTGAACAGCAGCGGACAATCGGAGTGCGAGCATGAGATAACTCCGCCTATGAAGACTTGATATCCCGAACGACCCCCTCAGCTGCTCAGGTAGTCACGGCATCGTCGCGGCAGACTCGACTTGGGGAAGTACAAAAGCCCAGCCTTGCCGTCACGACGTCGGCGTCTGTCATACCCGCCGTGGGCCGCTGATAGGCAATGGAAATAATGCGAAGAAAGAGCCGCGTGTTGATTTCCGTGGTTGGCATGTTTCTTCTGTCCGCATCGGATTCTTCGATGTTCTTCCTCAGATGCGGCCAACCGGAGCATGTACCCATCTCGGGTTGTTGCCCGATTTCACCACAAATTGGCTGATGGTTCGGTTCGAATGTCTCATTTCCCCACCCACCGGGCCTCTCTGCGCGCCCGGCCATAGGGCCAAGACGGCCTCAACCGGTGACGGCAGGTGTTTATTGGATCCACTTTGACACGGAACGGCCGGGGACTACCGAAATTCGAGGAGCGAGGGAGCGTTGCAGATTTCGGTAGACTGTAGACTGCAAAATTGGCCTCGGCCCCTCTCATTCTTATTACCTTCTCCTGGAGCCACACCGCAGGTTTGGTAAGTACAGGGGGGAAGTTGACACGACTGATACCGATGAAATTCTAACTCAATACGTGCTTTTTGTGGTGTTCTTTGGTGGAAGACGGTTGTTCCATTTGTTGTCTTTTCTTCTTCAACCAAGCCAGTAGAGCTGGGACGGTGATCAGCATGAAAAGAAACAACACAGAATCGCATGTCTCGTTCTGGCATGGATGGTTGTGGGCAACGACCCGTATCCACTAGCCCACCTGATTCAGCCCTGTTTGCAGAGGGGAGTGCAAGGAACCAGATGACAACGTCCCGTCCTGCAACACGGGATGATGGATAGAGCACAGATGCACGTGCCAAAGCTGGACCGCAACAGCTCTTTGAGTTGTGTCCAGTTTGATTTTGGTTCTTCTGAATGCCTTCAAGGAGGCCTGTTCGCATTGATGTGAACCATTTCAATGAAATTGCACAAAGAAGGAATACTCATCGCTGCCTCGGAACCCCACCCGGACTCCCGGCGCGCCTTCCTTGTTGGGAAACGTTGGGCCTGCGAGTTCTGCCACTCTTCACCACACCACCATTGCTCCCAATTACCCCACACTCTCCCCTCACAACACCAATATTTTGTTTGTTGATGTGGGTTCCCTTTTTTTTCTGGCCTCATACAGTTCGACCGTCTTCTTCATGCGTTGAGATTACGTTTGTCTTCGGCCACTCACCTTGTGGCCTTACTGTCTTTCATCCAGGCGTCGTTTCATAGCAAAGCATCACCGCCTACATAAAAGGGCATCACGGTCGCCAGTCGTCACCATGGCTCCCAAACCGCCTCCCACACATCCTCCCCCGCCTGGCACAGCCTCTGTACCTTTCAGCCTGTCTACTCTCAACGAGTATAACTCATTGGGACAAGCATCGTCAATCGTATCGTTCCAAAACATCACATTCCAACAACCCTACCAGAAGTACTCCACGGAAGAACTCAGACTTGCCGATTATCAGGCAGGCAGAAGATTTACTGAACCTCTCAGTGGTGCTGGAGTTGCCAGTCCAACTGCTTCTGCATCAAGCAATTTCGGGGCCACTAACGGTACGGCTGCTGTCTCGAAACCGAAGGAGACTATTGCAAGCATCTTTGGAAGCAACAGCTCTGATGGTGGTGGTTTATTTGGGAACAACAACAACAACCCACCCAGTCTCTTTAGCAACACCAGCGTCACCAAGCCTGGCCCAACTGATAGTGTCAAGTTCAACAGCATTCCTAGTAGCAGCTCCGGAAGCACCGGTTCTGGTGGTGTCGGTTTATTTGGGAGCATGACATTCTCGTCCAGTGTCTTCGCCAACACCAGGTTCGCCAACACTGCAGCAGCCACTACCGTCAAGGCCACCAACTCTACCAGGAACCTCTTTGGAAGTAACACGGCTCAGGCCCTGTCTTTGCAGCCCTCCAAGCCTATCCCTTCCTCGAATACTTCCACTCCTGCGACGAATCTGTTTTCCTTCACTCCCTTCACTTTTCCCAAGATGGTGACTCCTCAACAGAGCGCTTCTCCCACGTTGTCAGACGCCAGTACCACCGCGGCTAAGCAACAGCTGAATTCCCAACCAGCCCCCATCATCTTCTCTGGCACTGTCACGCCAAACAGGGACCTCCGTTCAGCATCCGCGGCCAGATGTGAATCCAAGAGCATCAGCACAGAGCAGGAAAGCAGTACTAATGAGGAAAGCGATGCCACCAGCGATTGCGAATCGACAACTGAACACGAAGACCCTATCCCGACGGCTCACCTGCGTCTCCTCGAGCGTCGCTTGGACTTGGATGAGCTCAATGAGATTTCGACCACCCCGCTTTTCACAGAGCCAGTCCGCAAGTACGCGAACAGAATTGCCAAAACCGCCCATGGTCAGGAACCGTTTACCCAATACGGTCTGCTTGGAGGAGATATTGGCTCTCTTGAATCAGGGGAGCCAGCCAACCCGGATCCGCGCGTATTCTGGAATATCGCAGCGCCCTCGAGCTTTTTCATTTGTGGCAGCCAAGGCTCCGGCAAGAGCCATACGCTCTCCTGCCTGCTAGAGAACGCAATGGCTCCATGCGAGGCAAACGTCCTTCCTCATCCGCTGACTGGAATTGTGTTTCATTACGACACTTTTATATCTGACGCCGGTGGATCCCCCTGCGAAGTGGCCTGGTTGTCCTCCAATCCCAAGATCAAAGTGCGCGTATTATGCCCGCCGACAAACATCCGGACGATGCGCAAATTGTACGGCAAATTCCCCCACATTGTCATTGAGGAGCTTCGCCTTAACGAGGCCTCTCTTGACACCAAGCGTATGCTTGACCTGATGGCAGTCAGCTCTGGTACCTCTATGCCGCTCTACCTCCATGTGCTCAACCGTGTCCTGCGTGATTTGCGCATTAAGCAGCAAGAAAATGGCGGCTCCTTTGACTATGCCGCCTTCAAACGGAACATGTTTTCTCAAGAGCTTACAGATCAACAGCTCGCTCCATTAAAGCAGCGCCTGGATACTCTGGAAAGCTTCATGGTTGAGCAACAGGCCAAGGCGTACGTACAAGGCGGTCAAGCAAACCCCAAGACATCGACCAAAGCAACTAGAGGCAACGACTGGACCCCTCGTGCTGGTACGCTTACCATCGTCGACCTTTCTTGCCCCTGCGTGACCTCAGAGATGGCCTGTTCATTGTTCAACATCTGCTTGTCTCTATTTCTTGAACAGGACCCCAACAGCATTGGGCGTATCATTGCGCTTGATGAAGCTCACAAATACATGAGCTCGGACACTGGATCGGCTGAGTGTCGCACCTTGACGGACCGTCTCCTTGAAACGATCCGCCTTCAACGGCATCTGGGAGCTCGCGTCATTATCTCGACCCAGGAGCCTACAATTTCTCCCAAGCTCCTTGACCTATGCAGCGTTACAATTGTGCATCGGTTTACCAGTCCCGACTGGTTGAGGGCTCTGTCCAAGCACTTGGCGGGTGTGAGCAAGGGCGGGAGGATGTTGGAAAAGGCTTTGGCGATGAACCAAAACGGGGCTGGTGATGAGGGCATCGAGAATGTTGGTGTCAATGCATTGTCCTTGGGCTACAGCGACCCTGCCATGGAACTTTTCTCCAAGATCGTGGCTCTCAGAGTTGGCGAGGCGCTGGTATTTGCACCGAGCGCAATCATGGGTGTGCAGAAGGCCAGTCCTCGACCTCCCTCCACATCGACACCTACACCCAAGCCTGATGCTGGATCTGTTGAAGGTTTACAATCTCAGCTGGAGCGCATTGATTTGAGTCCGCAATCGGCTAGCGACAAGCAAAATCAGGAGGCCGTAACATCCGCCACCGCTACCTCGACTGGAGCCGAGAAACCCGCCTCTTCCACTTCGACGACGACATCTGCGACAGTCAAGAGGCTGGCCCACGGCGTGCTCAAAGTGCGTATCCGTAACAGAACTACTGCCGATGGAGGCCGGAGTATTATGGCCGCCTAGTTTTTGGACGAGTTTCACATGTCGATGTCTGTCTGCGTTGGGCATTGCGAATGTTTGTTTTATTTTCTTTGGGCCGGTCAGTTCGTTTTCCTTTCTCCTTGCTTTTTCTTCCCTGTTTGATATCCCCTTGTTTTTTGTCTGGGCTGTTCTTGGAGCAGTTGCTATTTCCAAGGGACGTTGGCTACACCGCAGTGTTAGTACGACCTCTCCTTGGGAGTGGCATAGCTCTCTGGGGGTTGATTTTCCCTTGTTGTGGGAAACGTCAGCCCTAAATGTGAGCTGAAAACAGGTCTCGGAAGAGTAAATCGTCGGGATCGACAGGTTGAAACCCCTTGACAAAAAGTAGTCTCGGATGGGTAAACTGGCCCAGCGGCCAGGCAAACCTCCTTGACATGAATTAGCGTCTTTCGAGCAGTAAGTTGGCCACGGATGTCAACCGACCCTCGGGCGCACGAATGCAGCTTTGTATCAGTAAGTAGCTTTCGTGGCTACCTGAACGTACGAGCAAAGAATTGGGTTCATGGAGGCTGGTTTATCCGCTCCTGAATCACAGATGGAACCACAGATGGCCCTCTGGTATCAGGGCAATGACACTTTACGAAGTACCGTTTTCACACAGTCGGCATGCCTTCACTGGATCTTGTCGTTGTTTTCATGTTTCATGATCATGAGTCTACGGTTAGCATATTGGCGTTTATGGGCATTCTATGTTCTGCACTTATGCATGATGATACCCCGCAGCGTTGTTAGATCACGGCGTTCTACGGACTTGACGGTGGAATTCGAGAAGTCGGGTGGAAAAGAGAACGAGATGGCTAGGCTTTGACTTGGTGGACTTGAACTCTCAGTACGACTTCTTTCTTGACCGCCGAACTTGAAGAGATTAGTTTGTGCTTTCTCTGTCAGGTTACCTTGATGGTGATGAGTTTTATGGTGGTGTGTTTGGAAATTTCTTTTTAAAAGAAAAGCGGAATGGAGCGGCGAAGAGCTGTCAGCACGGATGGCTCCGTGTTTGAGAAGTGTACGATCCTCCGGTTGTTCGCGGATATTGATGGAACGGAGATGAGGTCCACTGGGGCTTGCTAAGCAGTGAGGTGGAAGAGACAGGAGGGCGAGTGAGCCAAAACATAAAATGGAGAGACAGCAGTGGCGGGGGAAGGAACTAAAAAACAGGCCATGCGCATTGCGAAGATGGCCTGATGATGTATGGTTTTTAAGCGATATCAGCGTCGTCATGCAAGAGAGTGCTGGCATTTCAGTTTCACGACCTCCTTTCTGTGATGTGAAATGTCGACTCCTTACAGTTGTTTGTGAATGGAACTGGTTGTTATCGCCACATATAAGGACCAATTGACGAAAACTGCATGGCAATAATCCTTCTTCGCAAGAATTAGACCTGACTCTTCCTTCCCTTCCTGAACACCAATGTGTATATTGGGAAGCTGTCCAGTTGGTATGCAGTTCAGCGCGGTAATGGACGGACCCCACCTCACGGCGGTTCGGCTCCACAGGACGGCGGTCCCTCCCGTCGGCAAACAACGTCACTTCATTATTTTGCATCACTTACTGTCTCTTTTCACCACCGAAACCATCCACGAGACAAGCAGCCTGCAAGCGCATCTAGTATACTCTTCACATTTGAAACCTCAACTCTTCGACTTGCGGCAACTGCGATTTGTCAAAGATATCTCACTTCAACGCTGTCGACTTTTCTCAGTCGCACAAACTTCTCATCGATCATTCAATATTCGGTGAAGAACCGGGCATCCATTGGCTCACCATCGCCCTACTCTTGACGACAATCGATTGATCAACAACAACTTATACTCAGTCATACATTCACTGAATCATCTCCCCGCATTGTTATCATAACCAGATACAACACGAAGTCGATCATGTCACCACGCTTCGACTCCCCACCTCCTCCCGGCGACTCGACAGGACATCCAGATGTTGGCGATGACTCTTTATTTGCAAAGCCCCGCCCACGGCCGGCTAGATCATCGGCGGAAACTCGGGAGATACGAACGCGGAACCGGAGGAGGGAGTACCTAGAGCGGAATCCGGGGTATTTCAAGTCTACTGAGCATGAACTTGCTGGTACGTTTTTTCTGCATTTTTCTCAATATGGAAGAGTGACTCACTGACGCTATCGTACACAGATCCAATCTTATACGACTCTCTCATCAGGCGATTCCAAACTCCCGCCGAGCGAGAAGCAGAAAGCAAGGAGAAGGGGTACGCTCGCGTGTTAGAGGGTTCACTGCTACGAGGGGAGGAGAAGCTTGCTAGGCTAGCGGCAGCGACGACGACGACGACGACGACGACGGAAACAGGTGGTAGTTCTGGCACTGAAGGCGGCGAGGAGGAGGCATCAACAAGTACGGGAATCGAGGGGGAAATGGAATGGCAAGGGGAGACAACGACAACGACGACGACAACCGTCACGCAGGCTCCGGTCCAGACGATGCCGACATTGGACAAACCAACGCCAGCTTCCACAACCACAACCACAACCACCTCGACAATGTTCGCCACCTTCACCGCCCCAGCCCAACAGCCGCTACCTCGCTTCGGCGGCTTGAGTTTCGGCGAGCCATCTCCATCTTCATCTTCACCTACGACCAGCCAGACCATGCGGCGCCCTCCAGCACCACCGACTGCATCAGCAACCGAAACTACTAAAAACCTAGCAGCACTGGCACTAACAGGCACCGAAACCCCCGCCCAAACCCGCGAACAAGGCCAAGAGCAATGGCACTCCTTCCTCCGCGAGCGGTTCGTCCGCGGTGGAGATGAGGATTTCGATTACGCCGGGCTGGTGGATAACGATGACGAGCTGGATACCCTTGAACGAAGAGAGGAGGAAGAGGCGTGGTTTGATGAGGAGGAGCCTGATTGGGCTAGTGATGGTGATGGGGAGGAGGGAAGGAAGGTTGAGAGAGTGCTGGAGGGAGAGACCGGGGTGCAAGACTTTTGAGCTGGCCTCATGACAGGTTATTTCGGAGGGAGATTGAGATGAGGAAGGTGATTGTGGCGGACGGAACGGGACAGGAGAAGGAGTAAGTTGATAGGGACCAAGGTCTTTGGAGCCTCGCGCCTCATGGAAGTTTGTTGGGGATATGGCAAGAGTCATGATGAGCTGGTTGCTGTCTTGCTGGCGGTGAAGGCTTCGGGATAATGGCACCAGACGTAAGTAACTCTGGGGCTCAATTACTGGTGGTTATTTGGTCACTCTGGAAAATGGAGAACGTGATTCTTTTCACACAATATCTTCCTTCATTGGGTTTTGCATCCTATGGTACGCGGTGAAGCTTGGAAATCTCCCCGGCGTGTCCCGCCGCGGGAGGGAGGGATGGGTATCACCAACATCCCATTGGGTCGCCTACTGGCCTATTGCCGATATTGCCGCGGTGGACAGGCTTTTCAGCATCTTCAGTGAAAATCTCTTCATGAATCCCGCCATTCGGTGAAAGGGATATCGGTCAACTCTGAAAGGAAGCGAGCAATTAATAACCTCGGCACAGTAGGTACCTCTAGGCAGGCTCTAGGCAGGCGAAGACAGGTAACCTGATGGTCAGACCACCCATCCACTCACTGTCTGTCCTCGATCAAGGATTCAGCACAGCTCGATGGTGCTATTCCCATGCCGGATTGACTGACAGAGTCCATGTTCCATAATTCTTCTGCCTGGCATAACTTGCCCCAACAAAATCGCAATGCCGCATCTTCACTTCCCTATTTGCGTCCAACCAACCCAACGAAGTGGCTGCCCAAAGGTCAAAAAAGTGTCATAGTAGAAGCCATCTTCTTAGCCCGTTGAAGAAAGATCCAAAATAAAAATATAAAAAAAATACCAAAGGGTTGCCGAAAGCCTTGTTGTCAGTCTGCTAGCAGGGCACCATGCATCTGCAGCTCTAGTCCAGTTGCGCCGCCATGAATGACACTATCGAAGAAGGACAAATACTGCGCCTGCCTCGCTTGCCTCGCTTGCCCTCTGAGAGGTATTTTTGAACATCCCGCGTGTTCGTTGGACTAATATGTACCATGTCGACGAGAACGGTGGTGGCGGTTGCGTCGAAGGATGACCGGAGAGAACGTCTGGCTTGGATCGGATACTGCGCTATTGGTGATGCAAAATCGCCATGTACGAGCTCACAGCTTATGTTGATGAGAGCTGATGACGGGAGCAATGCCGGAATCGCAATGGGGGAGGCGATGAGCTCCGCCGACATAATTGGAGGTTATTGGCCTCTTATAGACATCTTGGGAGCAAGTGAAGTGAGCGTGGAGTTGGTGGTTCCTGACTACGCCTCATTCTTGCTGTTCGAATTCTTTTTGGGTTTTGGGTGCACTTTCTTATTGGATGTTAGGTACTTGCTCAACTTGCCTACCTCACCTACCTGTCCGCATGCTCGGAGCACCAATGACGAGGGAACATTGCATGAGGCTTAGCACATTGGCACACCACACCATTGCCACATGAAAAGTACCACCCTTCGAAACTTGCAGTATTCCAGGGGATAGAATGGTGTAATACCGGACTGGCGGATTTGCCCCTGGAAGCCGCATCAATCTTACGCTGAGATATCGTGTTGAGTAGTAGTGTAGCACCACCATGGAAGAAAAGATGGAAATCTGGATTGTGAAGGATTCGAGGAAGATGGGAAGTCAATGGCTGGGAGGTAAGAAGATACCTTATCTATACGAGCAGAAAAATGACAGCCTCAATGATTTGGAACAGGTCGGACTTGTGATGAACTGACATGTGATATATTCAAAGAAGGAATGAGATCTATAACAAAAGTGAAGGAAACAGCAAGGACCAAGAAAAAGGAGAGACAACCATTAGAAAAAGAAAAAGAAAAGAGAAGAAAAACGAAATTGACACGGCAAACAACAAGGGAAGAGACGCCGTTTTGGTTGCTGTCCGCTGAAGTTGACAACGTGTCCGAGCCTGAAAGCAATCGATCTTGTGGTGTAGTGAAAGGAAAAGAAAACAGTATCTCGAAAACAAGAAGTGTTTAGCGCTGGCGTGTAAAATGGTCATGGATGTGAAGGAAGAGGAGAGCACCGCGAACCCAAAGAATCGTATTTGATCAACCACCAAATCCAGTCTCACTAAGTCCCATTGGACTTCACCGGTTCATCAAAGCATGTCTTCCTGTAATACTCGTCCAGCTTCTCATAGAAATCGGGATGCACTCTTCCAATCTTCATCACCTTCAAATCGTCCTCCACCGTAAACACCCTGCTGCAATCCAGTCTCGCGAGGGGACTAATATTCTGTTTGCCCTCCTCCATGATCACCGCGAGGGGGCCAAACACAATCCCCTCCTCCTTGTCCGGCTCAGGTGGCGGTACGCTAGTCGAGTACAGCACAGCCAGGTGCTCGCCTCTGGCTCTGTTCTTAGCCATGGACTTTACCCCTCCGTTGACGATGGCGAAGCACAAGGAGTGTTGCTGCTGCTTGCGGATGACAACAAACCACCGGTATCGGCCGTAGGGCTTTTCTCCTGTGCCGCTGTAGTCCGGGCACGACTCATGGTATGCGAGCTCGGAGGGGCGGGCGCGCGAGGAGCCGGAGAACTCGCCAAAGGGCTCAAACCAGACGGTTTTGAAGATGCGACCTTTGGTGAAGAATTTTCTGGGTTTTTCGATTTTGAGGTATTCTGTTTGGTGACCCGAGAGGATGTGTCAGCTTACACAACTTGCTCATTTGGCATGGGAAGTCAGGCATGAGGTGAAGTGGGATAAATATAGTATGCCTTACGTGGTGCCGGGATAGTAAGCGCTGCCGCCTGGTTGTTCGTTGTGTCGTTCGTTGTGCCGTTCGTTGATGACGAAGGCGCGTCAAGCTTAGTGTCCCCCTTCTGGTATTGTGAGTATCGAAGTACGATATCACCGATGTTTTTGTCCTCGCTTTCAGGGTGTGTGTTCAATGTGCATTGTTCACAATTCACCGGATCTTTTCGATGAACGTAGTCCTTGAGCGTGCCGTCCCTCTCCCATTTTAAACTGACATAGTCCGTGATGGGCTTCCTGTGTTTGAAGGTGTGGGGTTGAAGAACTGACTGTTCTGACACACGACGTGGTGGTGACTCCTTGGGGAACTCATGGTCACCAGGGACACTCGTGGCTGAGGATGTCGGCTCGACCTCGTAGTGATGCCTTGTTCGACGATGTTTTGTCTGTGACATCCACTCTTTCTTTCGTTGATGGCTCTGTTTCCTTGTTAGCGGCATGCCCATTCCATGGGGAGTAAGATCTATGGGAAAAGAAAGAACCTTTGGGCAACGTAGATTCTGACAGTGGCATGGGGTTGTTTGTTCCAGTTCTAGGAACAGACATCTCTGAGCCGTTGGGAGTTGATGGTCGACGGGTCCTAGTTGGGATGTCCATCTTTTCTGAGCCGTTGAGGCTTAGTTTGTCCAGTTCTGGAGGATACCTGAATCAAAGACGTTGTCAGAATTGATTTTCGTTCAATATATATAACAAAAGCAATGGTCCAAATATCTAGAGAATGACTTCAAGGACGTTCTCTGGAATAGCTATAGTTGATTCCAGACACTTTTCTTTTGTTTGGGAAAGAAATGCATTTTAGCAATTAGGCGACGTGTGTCAAGCGCCTGCCTCATCTTGCATCTGAAATGAAGGCAATGGAAAGAACGAACAACGAACCGGATTTTCGGGTGGCAACTACCTTCTGTGTAAGTTTTTATGTCCTGATAAGACTCAAACGATCCCCCATGAGGCCTTGGCTTGGTGCCTAGTGCTGACGCTGATATGGAAATATAGATGGGGACAATAAGTAGTTTTCGACTTTTCCAGGTTTCATGCGTCCCGGCGATTTATATACATGCAACCATCGAGAGAAAGTTATCACCCATCTTAAAAGCAGGCTGGGAAGTGTTCCAGGTTTAAATAAGTGCCTTACACCTGAGGAAGGCATGATTGGTGCGAGGTACATGTGTTGGTAACCGAAGTACCTCACTGCAAACTTATAATTTATAACCACTGTGGCTTGGCAGGCTCGAAGGATACGAGGGGTGCCTGCATTTTTGTTACCACCTCACCTTCCAATTCGATTATGCGACCCATTAGTAGAATAGCTACTACTTCTCAACAAGTCAGGCAGGCTCCAGGCTAACGGTGAATGGTTTGCGCATGCCAACAGTATACCGTATTATTCCGCGAAACGTATTTTGGGGCCTTCTAATATAACCCTCACAGGCCTAGCTCTCTACCCTTGATGGTTGAACAAGGCATGGTATTAGAAGAATCGAGTTTACACTGCTCCGGGCTCTCTGGGTGTATCCCCCACTCTTTTCTGCGGGCAAAAAAAGCACATATTCGAGCAGTATGCTTGCGTTTTCTGCTTGCTTGGTCACAACCCTCAAAATACATTTCGTGGAATTCTACGGCAGTGCACGGCCATACGGACACCATTCCGAGTTATACGATACATAGTAGCTGAGAACTCAATAGCAACTGCACAGCAACGCCTGGGTGGCATCTGATCAATCACGCTTAGGTCCATTGACGCCATCGAATATATGGCTGCAATCGAGGTTTCGATACATTCCTAGTAGGCCTTCATTACTGGACGGCCACATCACTATCAGTAAAACCTCGTCAGTTGCCCCTTTTACCTTCCAAGGCAAACAAACTATCAAACGGCCTGAAGCCCAGCCATGGAGTTTCATCGGTTCAGTCTCCTGCTACCTGTGTCCCAAAGTTACCGTTCTCAGGAGCCGGCTAAGCCATCATGCGGCGATTAACTCGGGTTCTCGTTTGGTGACCGCCGGTTACGGCCCACGCCCATCTTTCCACCTAGCCGCACAGCGTAGTCCAAGAAGCTGAAAACTTCACATCAATCCGACCTCGTCCGTTTATGATTGCGGCTATCGATTGAATTGCACGACGCAATCCTTCGCCAACTCTAGCCCCAAAACTGGATCTTTAACACAGTGTTTTTTTGTTGAAGAAAAGAGGGCATCTACATCCGCACCTAGACTACTGGTAAGTGTGAAAATCTTGACCGGCTCCAAACTTGTGCTTAATGATGTGCGTATGCGAAGAAAATTCCGATTACACCAACAGTCGGTCAATCCCCCAACCCACAGGAAATGCTTTTTTCCCCTCAAAACAGTGACTCTGTGGCTGACATTTAGTCCGAATGAAATCTGTTCAACGCCAATGTGTAAGCTTTGGCTGAGGTGTCTACGTAGCATTTTAATAGTTCGACTGGCCGCCTTAGCCAGCTTAAAACGGCGTAGTGAAGCTGCCTTTCCGGGTTCGATCTTGACTGACGTCCACAACCTTACGCAGCAATCACCAGCCACCTCAAACAACTTGACAGGAAACCCGTACAGTCTCGCCCTGCATTTACCGTGTTTGATGCACGAGCGGAATGCATTTTATTCATTCTCCAGCCTTATGCCCGGAAGAGCGAGGCTGGTATGTGGCAATTTTTGCTCGTTGGCATTCTAAGAGGTTACACCCCATTTCTCACCGAACTAAAGTCTGTTTTAAATGTAACATCTACTGGGTAAGGCTAGGTAAGGTTGAGTCGACGTTCCATCCAGTCCGATATATAAATGGAGGTTGGGGCTTGGAAAAGTCTTATAGGAATCTGTTATACCCTTTCAGCCAACTGCAAGGAGATGCAGACTTTATGTGTTTGACCAGGTTGGCTGTACCGTTATTTCATAGGCCGTGATCAAAGCAGTCAAGTACGCACGTGCAGTAAATGTGCAAGACGAGGCAGTCAATGATGCGTTGCTTGCTAACTTGAAGATTAACTCTTGCAATAAAGGTTAGGGACGATGGGGCAGCACTAGAGAGTCAGTGGTGGTATTTATGTGTTTGGCTATAAACGTATACGATCTATCAATACAGACTTATGTACCTATCAAGCTATCAATGAGTGCAACTTACATCTCCCCTTAGATCTCCAAAAGCCCTCACGAAACCCATCCCAGACACTCCGCCTAAAACTACTCTCTATACTCAGGAGGCGGCTCATGATGCCCCTCAACCTCATCAAGCCCATCACTACTCTCGTGTCCATTACGTCCAACAACCGTATGTCCTGCAATTTCAGCCGGGTGCGATCGCCCTTGCTGCCGGTATCCATTATGAGAAGAGGAACTCGCTGCTGAACCCGACGCACCACCCGCATTTTGCAAAGCCTCATCTTCCTTCCCGCTTCTGATCCTTTCACCTTTAGAGTCAAGCCCCTCCTTGGAGGCAACACCTTTATAGTCAACGGCACCAGCCCAGGGATTTCCGTCATTGTTGATGGGGGAAATTCTCGTCTTAGTAGATGAGATGGGCGGCGGGGACGAATATTCGGCAGCCGCGGCCGACCTGGAGCTTACGCGGGGCGGAATATGCACCGACTGGGGGAAACTAGGACTAAAACCATTGTCCATGCCGCTGTTGTGCCCGTATGTGCCAACATTATGGAAGCCGGAGGACGGCTGGAAGTTCCGGGCTTGTTGGGAAGCATCGAATGGGCTGTTTCGGGTTCTGGCGGCAGCCATGCGGTCCATTGTTGATGCTTTGAACGTGTCGAGTTCTCGCCCTTCGAACAATGGTTCATCTGAGCCGTGGGGGCCATCCCAGATACCGGGGTAATCGTTGTTGGAAGCTTGCTGCCTAGCTCTTTTCGCATTCGCCTTCTTCTGCCCTCTCTTCCGAAGCCAGAGATACACGATGAATGAGATGGCCGCGCTGACTGCTATGCTGACGCCCACGGCAATTCCAACGTAAGCGCCGACGGAAAGGGATTTGGCGCTTTCGACGGCGTAGTGACGAGAGAAGACCATGTTGTTAATGGCTGACGTAGGTGCTGCGTCAGCCTCAACATTAGTTAGAGGAACACCACCAGTGATATTGCTGCCATCAGTGTTAATCGGGTCATCTGCAGCCGCGGCTCGGGTCAGGGGTGGAACGCTGGCTGTGCTACTGAGAGGGCTCCAGCAAGGTATTTCGCCACCAATGGCGGACGTGAAGAAATAGTATCCCCTGTTCATCATGTTAGGAACTCGGAGAGAAAAGGACCAACGGATGAGGAGTACGTACACAGGGCAGCAACCATTAGAAATGGAATAGTAGTCATCGGGACAGTGTTCTAACTTTGTCTTGTGACCATGAGCCGGTTGAGGATAGTCGTTGCCGTGTTTGTGTTCTATCTCTAACTCAGGCTCTATCTCAATGTTGGCGGTGACAGGAGGTGCGTTTTGTGCAGAGTTCGCAGAAATTGGCCACGGGCAACACTGAGGCCGGTCGTCGTTGCAGCCTTGAAAGCCGGCATAGTACGTGGTGTGACCCCCGTCCGCTTCCACAAGAGTGAAGTCTGTTGATGTACATTCTCCGGAAAGCAGAGATCCCGAGCCCTTGTAGATCGGGTCATTAACTCGAGTAACGGGTGGGTAATCGTGACCATTGACCGAATAAACAATATTAGCCGTGCTGCTTCCATACAACGTCAGTAATTCTCCCGGCCAAAGTAGGATGGCTCAGGGGGTCTCTTAAACTTACGTGAAGCTTACGTTAACGGTCATTCTAGATAACTGGTTAGCACGAAGGAAAGAACCTATGACATTTGGGAGAGAACGAGGAAGATAGAATAGACAGTGAATGGAGGAAGAAAACAACAAAGAGAGACAAGATCTTGGAGAGAACCTACGGCTGTGACATCTGTTCCATTACTGACGGAGGAGGGGGATCTCCACACCAATTATGATACCAATTCAGTTGCCAATCTGGACGAGTGATGTTAGCTGGTACCTTGCGGGCCAATTTGTAATAAGACTACTCACTGTCGCCGATATATCCGTCGTCCCAACACTCGGGGTCGTCGTTCTCGGCGTGAGACATGCACTTGAAGAATTCCTTCGCATGCTCGCAAAAGCAACTCCAGCCCACCGTCACTCTCCCGTTGGAAGCAGCGGGAGCATTTCGGCAGCCATCATCCCCGCGCATGTAGGGGCCGGCGCAGGAGTAAAATTGTTCAGCCTAGAATGAGTTAGAGATTTGTCTAGCAGTATAGAGAGATATTCACTTACATGGCAAGGCCTGGATACTGCGCCCCAGCCTAGTCCAAAGTCTTGCCCTGGCCAACGATCAGGAGGATAATCCTCGGGCCAGAAGGCTGCTGGCCAATCTGTTTGACGAGGCTTCAAAGCGGCATCATGATGGTTGCCCGGCAAGGTTGACGTTGCGGTTGCCGTTGACGGTGCTGGTGGTATAGGGGAGGCAGCGGGCAACAACGCGAGAGTAGATGGCAACAACGCGAGAGTAGATGGCAACAACGCGAAAGTAAATGTCAATAACATGGCGTGGGTGATGAAGGCCTAAAGGTGAAGGTTTACATTATATAAAGAAGCGAGATGTGTGGCGTCGAAGTTATGTAGCGTTTCAGGGGTGAAGGTTGTTTGGAAGATCAGATCTTCTCAGCGTGATGAAGAATGGACATTATCTGGCTTTTGATAGGGAAGACCCGAACTCCTCGAAACTCGAGGGGTGTGCCATCGAATGTCAAGCACATCAAACCAAGCACCCAAGAAGCAATGCGATGCCCTCGTTATCTAGTGTTGGCACGTCACAGTAGGCGTGAGACGTACATAAAGACAGCCGAAGAAAAGGGGTTGACGTAGAGGTTACTCGCTCCATTCCAAGCATGGGAGGCGAGGTTAAATTCAAAGATTGTGCTTGAGAGAGATGAAGAAGGACAACCTGTGGATCTGTTATCCATTGGAATAAAAAGCACGTTGTTTCTTCAGACCTTTACAGGCTCCTTCTCTGGACTCCGAGAGAGTGACCTTTCCGCGAAAGACCATCATTAAAAAAATTATCAAAGAGTGATCAAACCCAGAAGGTTGAAACCTGAGAACCGAAGTCCCGTGTCTGATGGACCATGTTGACTGGAGGGTTTCGGCCGTATAATGGGTGGACTTGCTGTCCGAGTGACGTCCGTCAATGCATTGCATCTGCAAGCCGATCTGTAGATATTTGCAGTTTTCTGCAGAAACAGCTTGCTCCATGTGAGAAACCGAGGGATTTATGGTGTCATGGGCGCATGATTCTAGATGGGGTGTGAATTCGCTGCAGGGTGGACTGGTATTTCTGGGTCAAGGTGGTGGTTGATTAGAAGAAGAAACTAACGAAGGGAAACCCCAAGAACCCAGGTATTAATACCCCTCTTTGCTAGGCGCACACCGCACCTTCCCAGGTGCCTTTTTGGGTTCCAGAGGTCACCGAAGTCTGTGATATTGATCAGTCTCGATGGCAACTGCTCATCCGGTAGGCTGTCTGCAGCTCGAAGGTGACGATCAGGTTGCCGTACAAAGCAGGGGTAGGTTTTGCGAAAGATGTTGTTTGGGAACCCACAAAATAACTTGAAGTATAGGAGGAATTGGCCGAGTTGGATGGTTATCGGAGGAGAAAACCAGACAGTGGTCGGTAACGACTGTCACAGGAACATGAAGTCGTGCGAAAGGAGCACCGGAGAAAGTTGAGGTACACAGTACAGGGAGACGATCTTGTGTGCGATAAGACAAAAACTGCGACAGCGCGGTTGCAGCTGCCGTAGACTTAACGCCGAACGTGGCCGGACTTAAACGTCGACATCCACGGTCACTTCACAACTAACCACCGAAGAAAAGAGAATATAAGTCGCCTCCAGGAACTATCAATTGACAAGCAACCAAATACACAGTTCACTACAGAAACCCGCCACCACAAGGTCAATTTTAACCATGCCAACACGAAACCCACCGAGCACGAGCCCAGCAGTTAACCAGCCTGAGTGCGTCCGAATAGAATTTATTTACGATCCAAAATAATTTCCAAGCCTGCTAACTCTTCACTTCCCAAGTTCCACCCCCCATTTTACTTACTTCTCCTCGGGCTTCTCCCCATGAATCTTGCCCTCCGTATCAAAGAAAATCTCCTTAACCTTGACACTCCTCAAGTGATCCACGCCCTTGCTCAGCTCGCAATCGTGATGGAACAGCCACCACCGATCGCTCTTCTCGGGGAACTCCACAATGGAATGATGCGTGGTCCAGCCCAGCACCGGCTCCAGGATCCTTCCGCCATAGGTAAACGGTCCATACGGCGAGTCGCCGACCGCATAGCACAGGAAGTGGGTATCGCCCGTCGAGTAGCTGAAGTAGTACTTGCCGCTGCGCTTATGCATCCACGCGGCCTCGAAGAAGCGTCTGTCATGGTCGTCCGCATCCAACGGCTCGCCGGTTTCGGGAGCAAGGATAACCACGTCCTTGACACCCTCCTCGGCAAACTCCAGCATGTCCTGCGTCAGCTTTCCAACGCGGGCGCCGAGCGACTTTACGCCCTTGCCCGTGGGCTCCTTGGGCCCCTGCCACGAGGCATCAAACACGTTGTGGCCGCCCTGGTAGCACTGCAGCTGACCACCCCACAGTCCGCCAAAGTAGAGGTAGGCCTCGCCGTCGTCGTCGACAAAGGTGGCCGGGTCGATGGAGTAGGACCCCTTGATGGGCTCCGGCTGGGGAGTGAAGGGCCCTTCGGGCTTGTCGCCTACGGCCACGCCGATGCGGAAGATGCCTTCCTTGTCGCGGGCGGGGAAGTAGAGGTAGTATTTGCCGTTCTTGTAGGCGGCGTCGGGAGCCCAGAGCTGCTTGGACACCCAGGGGATGTCTTCGGTCTTGAGAACGACGCCGTGGTCGATGGGCGTCTCCTGCGGGTCGAGCGAGGAGGTGGAGAAGACGTGGTAGTCGGCCATGTCGTATTGGTCGCCATTGTCGTTGAACTGGATGTCGGTCTCGCGGTCGTGCGAGGGGTAGATGTACACGCGCCCGTTGAAGGCGTGCGCCGAGGGGTCGGCCGTGTAGATATTTGTGATTAGGGGCGCCATGGTGATGGTTTCTTTTGGTGGGTTGTGATCTTCGGTCGACTCCTCCGTGTAAGAGGGTGGGGTGCGGGGAGAGGAAGTTGGGGTAACTTTTGTGTTTGTGCGGGTAAGGGAAAATGCGGGGGAGAAACCGCTGGGGTAATGGAGTCAGTCGAGACTGAAGATGAGTCCAAATTTTGGATGAGATGATGAAGGGGGAGAAGAGATAAAACCACGGAGATAAATCAATGCAGGAACAAGATGCATTATATATCCATATCTTGATCATTCCACCTGAATGGGACCCGGGTATTTGGACAAGTCTTTTTCCTCTCCTCTCCTCCATCATCACATCACCACCACCACACCAGGTTGGATCGGACGGGCCATGATGCCGAACGACAAGACATTGTGGGGATGGTTTACCAATGGTGGAGGGTTACTTTTTCCCTATTTATCCCCATTTAACCGTGACGCCTAGTGACACTGTGACCCGGACAAGACCTGGCTGAGCTCGGCTGAGCCTGGTTCGCCGTGCTAGGCGCGTGCCGAGAAACTCCCCTCATTCGCGAATTGGCCTGCTCCAACTCCTCCACGGGGCGGAGTCCCACATGGTCCATCCCCGCCATCATGCTCTGCATGGTCTGGTCTGTTCAAGTCTGGAGAAAATCTGGAGAAAAAAAAGCTGATTATCTCGGATGAACTGCGGGTGAACTGCGGGTGAACTGCGGGTGATTATAAGGGGGAAAGATGCCGAGATTTGTTCGAGAAACTGGGCTCCATCTCCATCTCGGGATTTCCTCTTGTGTTTTGAGTGTCTGGAAGTAAAGCTATGAGCCGGGAATTAGATCATTTTAGGTTGTGAAGCAGCAAAACCCACATCCATTCAACTCTCTCGAAGATACACCCTCCAAAATCATATTCCATCTTCACTTCGTCTAGTCTTCGTACGATACACCCACAAAAGGTAAGCAACGAATATATGTCGTATCATTTAGCAAGCCGTTATATATACGCAAAACAAACAAGCATGTATCTGCAAGAAAAATCTTCATCAAGTCATCTCATCTCATATATCCATCCCACACCTTCTTCCTTTCCCCAAACCCCTTCGATTCCCCCTCCAAACCAAACCCCCTTCCGGACAAAAATCAGAAATCAAGCAGCATCCATAACCCCCGCCCGCAACTTATTCAACGCATCCTCGTATTTCCCCGGGCTATGATCCGTCAACATGCTCGTCCCAAACCTGACCTCCCTGAACCGATGTTCCACATCCCTTATATACTTGAGCACAATCCTCTGTGCCGGCCTGCCCAGGTGTCCTTCCTCCCCATCTAGCAAAAACGCGTCCCTTCTCAGCACCCTGGTGCTCTCCACCACAAACACCTCCCCCGGAGGCAAGAGCTTGTGGCTCATCATGGAAGCGCGCAACACCTTGAGGGCAGCGTAGGCCCATTGGTCGTCGTCTGAGAAGTCGCCTGGTCCTCCTCTTTCACCGCCGGTACCTGGGACAGAGGATGATGAGGAGGAGGAGGATGATGGATCACTTGGACCGGGACCTCCGGCGGTCCCAGGATAAGAAGTCTGGTTTCCACCGTACCACTTATCTGCAATCCCCGTCTGGAAAGCCTCCCAGATCCGCTGGCGCACTTCCACTTTTGCTTCGTTATTATCCGTCTTAAACGCCAGCGCTACAGCCTGGAAATCATGCAACACGCCCAACGAGAGATAGGGCACCATGTCGTTTCCGTTGACGATGCTAGTGATCAATCCCCTCGTGGCCTTGCACAGTGACGCCGACATGGTACTAGGTGGGCCGTAGGCATAGACGTGCACGGGTCGACCTGAGGGTAAGCAGACATGGCGGGGAGGTTGGGTAGCTGCGAGGCCGGTGAAGAGTGAGTCACCCAAAAGGTGCGTGTGCGGATCAGCGGACGTGACAAAGCTGGTGCTGTTGCAGCCGGGAGCGGGCTCGGAGAGCATGACGCCCAAGAGAGCGGTGACGCCACCGCCAAGGGAGTGGCCAGCGAGCACGAGGCCGTAGTCAGGAAATTCTTCCAGCGCTTGTTTGAGGGTGTACAGAACGCGGCCGTCACCGCCGTACAGCAAGCGCTTGGCAGAGGCGTGTATGCCCTTGTGTACTTTGTAGGCTTTACCACGCCAGACGAGGTCATCGTAGTCGCACGTCATGTCGGCCAGGACGTCTTCGAACCCCAGGGTACCGCGGCAGGCGAGCACGACGGCTTTGGAGTCGTGGTCGAGACTGATGTAGTGCACCAAGGGCACGCCCGTGTTAGTTGAACCCGTACCGTCAGACCCGCCTTGGGGGTCAACGAAGGAGGAGAGCAGGATGCTGCCGGCGTCGGATTCAGTGTGGTGCGCGAAGGAGCGTAGCTCGTGGTGGGTCTCGGTGTCCAAGGCGCGCAGGATGGGCATTTGTTTGGCGATTCCGAGCATCTTGAGGAAGTTGGAGCCGTAGGATGCGGAGGCGAAACGCATGAAGCGCGTGATGTTCCGGAGGAGATGGTGTTTGGGAAATATGCCTTCCACCATGCCGGCTTGGCGCAGTTCTCGCAATGCTTCTGTGTTGCTGAAGGCGCTTTTATGTGGATCTCTGTAGGGAATGAGGGAAGATGTTGATTCGTGTGGGAGGGTGTAGATGCTCGGAGTGTACCTCGACTTCATTCGTCTCCCGTTTATTGGTGATGGAAGACCGTAGGGGGGTGAGAGGGCAGGATCGGATGATCGAGGATTGACCAGAGAGCCGGCATCTTCGTCGTCGGTCTCAATCGCGCATGGCGAAGGAGCCCTGGAGTGTCGGAAGTCGTCGGCCGCAGAGATTGAGTATGATTCTGTCTGCGAGTATACTGAGTCGCGGCGCCTCTCATGAACCGAAATGTAGCTCGTCCGTGATGGGGGCCGTATGTATTGAGACCTCTCAACGTTTTTCCTTCCGAGGCTACCAGAGCTGCTCTTCGGAGACACCGTTGGTTCCTCTATCCTAGGGATCGAAGCGGAAGACGCGCGGTGCGTTGGACGAGAAGAAGTCGAAGGACGATGAGGAGCCGAAGTCCGGATAGGACTAGGCAAAGCAAACTTGTACTTGGGTGAAGGTTCAGGCTTGGTCAACCTTGTACTGCTGGAACTTTGACCTTCCTTCTTCTTGCGCGAGGGGGTATCCGAATCCGAATCGTCTCTGCTAAAGAACTTTCGAAATCCGCTCTTCTTCTCGACTGGTTTCCTTTTCGACTCTGCATCCTCTCTGGTTTTCGACGACATAAAGCGACTACCAGATGTCCGCGATGCTGCCGTTTCCTGACGCTTGTTTGATGAGGAGGCAGTGGGTGGTATTCGAGGGCGCTTCTGGCTTGTCGTGTTCTCACTCCGCTTCTTCGGCATCTGAATTGAGGGGATGCGACTCTTGGAAGAGCTGGAGGCAGCGGAAGCGGAAGAGCCGGGACGTGGAATGGCAGAATCTGGCGCGTGTTCCAGTGACTTGGTTGGTACCGAAGGTAAGGTGTCAACTGTTGGCAATGAGCGTTCGGACATGGTGTCGTCAGTGTCGTCTAGCTGCTCGACATATCCGGTCACTTGGCTGATATCCCCATCCTCCTTTGTGATGGAATACCTTCTCTCCTGGTTGCGATTCAGCCGGTACACAACACGACAGGCATGAGGGATGTGGTCTGCCGGGAGTTGCGTCTGTGAGGAGATTTGGCGGGTATTCCTACTCTCCTCAATGAGTTCAACTCCTGGTGGCGGGGAGACGGGTATGTCGTGTATCGGTCCTTGAATATCGACGGTGATTGTTTTTGTGGTGTTGATCTTGGTGGTGATGGAAACCTTGGCGTTGTCGCCGAGAGACCGTATTATTTGGTTTTTTATCCTTTCTTCTGCGTCCTCCTCGCTGTCATGTGCGCCGCTGCCACTGGTGGAGGATAAGTCCTCCGTAAACTCACCATCATGCACACCATAGACACTCTCCTCGTGGACATCGACCCGCATACCATCACTGAGAACCACGACATCCCAAATGATCTCCTCAATCTGAAGCGCCCGCGTCTCCTCGTCAAGCGATCGTCGACACCATCTCTGCAGATACGCCATGCCGCAAAGTCCAAGCATCAGATCAAGAACTCCGACTTGTTCGCCTTGTGCGCCAGTAGCTGGATTTCGAAACTCCCTTCGTATGAGCGTGATGATGCTGGCCATGGCGCGAGAAGAGTCAGTCGAGCCGAAAAATTGGTCCAAGGTGGAAAGAAGAAGCTGTGAGGTCTCGGAGAACATGGCAATTGTTGTCCCCGTCACATGGAAGCCTGTTGTTGTCCAGAAGAGAATCTGACTCATGGTCCGGTGTAGGTTCTCCAAGCTCTTTTCGAGCATATTCTCGGCCTCTTTTCGCCCATGTTCCGAAGAAGAACGAGCGATTGCGTCTCTACCAGCCCGGCCGAGGATTCCTTCGAGGACAAAACGACCCATCTCCAAGCTGGACAGGGTCGTCATCTTGGCAGCGTCGAAGCCATAACCGGTCAAAATAGTGCCCACCCGCAGGGCAAGACTGGTTGATCTTGTTGCGAAGCTGACGGCCCGGGCCACGGTGGAAGGGAGGAGGGTCCTTCCGGGATTCGAGGGGGCGAGTTCCGAGAGCTGGGACGTGATAGACTCGCCCGGAACGACAGCCAACCTAGCTCCGTCATAATCTTCGGTATCTTCAATATCAAGCCCAGAAAAGTCCATCATGTCGAAGGCCGAGGGGTGATTTTTGGTGGGTTGTTGTGGTGTATGTACAGAATTCGTGCCCGAGTTCGGTTATCGTGGTATCGGACTGCCAGCAACCATGGCCGTCACACAACGAAAGGGGCCAAGGAACAAGAAAAAATGATAGTAAAGCAGAGCAACTGACGGGTGCCAAAACTTTCGAAAAACAAGAGGTAAACGTGTCGATACAAAAAATGAATGACAAAACTCTAGGTATATGTGAGCAAGATAGGTCAAATCAATAGATGTTCAGCTGGGGCCCAAAGAATGAGATGACATCTCAACAACGACAAGGCCAAGAAAGCATGGCAAATGGAGTCTGAGGGGGGCAACGGCGAGTACCTGAAACATGGCCAAAAAGCTATGAGTCGAAGGTACCTGCCATCCACCTCCTACCCCGGTGACCCTGGGGCCCCGATTCTACGAGATGGTGGCGGCATGGACGAAAGAGTTTGACGATGAAGCTTGGACCTGGACTTAACACTAACAATTAAGTCATGGATCAGTCCAATGGATAACAGTGATGAAGATAAAGATGCGGGTACAGAGGAGAACTAACGGCGGGAGTGCAGGTTCTTAGCATGTGATGCACAGATGTCGGTCATCTGCCTGTTTGATAGCATCAGAGGGCATCAATGGTCAGCTTTACTTTCAACCTTGCTCCGTCCCATTGTCCCTACCAACCCTCCAATTCTTTGTGCTAACCAGTAGGAAAGCGAAGCCTAACCCCGCGCTGCACGACATCACAGTTACTCGTTCCTGGAAGTTGGGCAGCTTTTGATATTGGACCACGTTAGTCATTCTTACGGTAAGGTTGCCATGTCTCGGGCGGCATGAGAGAACCCCTGGCAGGCCGATTGTACATAGGATTCTAGATGTTAGTCGTGAAATTCCCAACACATTTTCTTGAGAATTCTTCTTCAACAGAATAACAAGTCGAAGTGTGTGGCCGGAGGTCGGGCTGAGGAAAGCTGGGCAACGCCATGAACGAGCTGGGGCCTTTTTCTTTGTTTTGGCACCCCTTTTGCACCTCAGTCCTTTCCCAACAGTTTAGCTGTCAGCCCACTTTGCAACATTGGCGAAGCTGTGACGTGAGATTCAAGGTTAAGGGGGACTCGATGACGGGAGTAGTTCGAGATGGAAGACACCGCTCTTCTGCAACATGCAACTGTCCAGTATGAGATGAAAACCAACATGCATTGCCGCTCTGCTTGATCCTAGCTTTACGCAATCTTTGGTCCAGTCGCAAGTGTTGACACTCCAGTCGCCATGGCCGGCCCGTAAAGATGCTGTCCAGGCCATCGATTTGAGGCTTCCATCAGTTCTCTTGTTCAAAGCAATTCAGGTGTATGAGAGCAAGGGTCTCGTCGAAAAGACCGGAATGCCAATGGACTTGGACGGGGCCGCAATTGGGGAGCTTCCGGTCAGTCCGATACGCAGAGGTGGCGACGGCGATGTCTCGTATCAGTCCGTCGCATTCCTTGTCCGGACGCCGTATCGTCGATGGTTGGCGTCGATTGCATCTATCGGGGAAAGGCACGGTGACATGGCCATTCTTATTCGCTGTCATCTGCTGTTGATGCTTGTGGTGATGTTGATCGGAATGTTGTCCTTGCTGCTGCTTGAGTGTTTGATGTTCGTGGTGCTGTTGTGGCCATTGATGCGAAGAGATTATTGGTGGCATGAAACAGGGCTGAAGTATGCCCCTCAATGCCCTGAAGATGGTGGGGCAGCTAAAGGCCAAGCAGGTCAGCTCCCGATAGCGGTCCATCGCGAACTGCACAGCTGCATTGGTATGAGGTGAGACACCGAAACTTCTCGTCGTGCCGCGGGCTGGACCCTTTGTTGGCGCTTGAGATATACTAAATTACTGCCTTTCATCATGAATCCAGAAGTCAATTCCTAGTTCGCGGGATTAGCAAATGCAAGTCCAGTGTTAGTTCTCGGCCTCCCTTTTGCTGGTCGTTTTGTTGTTGAGTCCCATCCCCACCGCCGCCTGCTTCGGTTACTCCCGCCCGCTGAACATCATCAAAATAAGCGAATAGCGAGAGGACAAGTCAACAATCCTGCGCCAAACAGTTCTCGTCGCCTTGAGCTCCGTCCCAATTGCCTTCGCCAACTTACGAGAATCAACAGCACACCGACGACACTCATACGAGACGACACCCAAACATCCTCACATCTCCGCAATGGCCGCCCAAAAAGAACTGTTCTCCGCCGATCTCCTCTCTCCCGAGGTGCAATCGGCCCTGCCCGAGGGCTACAAGCTGCGCGCGCTTCGCCCGTCCGACTATGACACGGGTTTCCTCGACTGCCTCCGCGTCCTGACCACGGTGGGCGACATTACACAGGAGCAGTTCCAGGACCGTTACAACTGGATCTCGCGACAGGACGGTGGCTACTTTATCCTCGTCATCGAGGACACCAACAGCAGCCCACCCAGAGTGGTCGGCACCGGCGCGCTGTTGGTTGAGCGCAAGTTGTGAGTAGTCCTTTTGAGCTTCCTAGCAGAAAACAATTGCCCTGAGCACAGACTGACATGTTCCCTCCCCCGAAAACAGCATCCACAATCTCGGGTCAGTCGGACATATCGAGGATATCGCCATCGCCAAGGATCAGCAGGGCAAGAAGCTGGGTCTCCGGATGATCCAGGCGCTGGACTTCATCGCCGAGAAGACGGGCTGCTACAAGACCATTCTCGACTGCAGCGAAGCCAACGAGGGCTTCTACGTCAAGTGCGGCTTCAAGAGGGCGGGTCTGGAAATGGCACATTACTATCAGAGCACCAAGAGCAAAGCTTAGGATGCTCTTACCTTTTCAAACTCGAAATGAACATCGTCTTTTTTTTCTTCCCCAACTCGTTGTGGAATGTTGACTTGTCTGGCTGCATCGGATGCGGCATTGGAGGGTGATTCGTTGGTGGCTGCTCGTGTCCAAGTTTCCTTCAGCTGTACTCGGATCCGGGACAAACGACGCCGGCTGATGACGCCACCCGACTCCGAGACATGCTCAAGATTCGATCCATCGCTATCTTAACGATGACATGGGTAGTAGCTTTTGGGATCTCGAAGGAGATCGCATTACGTCCACATTACCGCTCGTGTAAGGTCTCTTGTATCCAGGGACGGCGTACAGGTGGTGGGTGAAGTTGGTGGGTGAAGTTGAGCACATGGTACGTATCTGCCGTGTTAAAGGTCAATCGGACATCCGTTGATCGGCCCATGGGCGACCGTCAACAATTCCAGATCTCGGCCTACAAACACAGCAGTAACAGCACCCTTTGAATTCCCGCCTGAGATGTGAAGCCCTTTTTACGTCCCCAAAAGTCCCCCTTTCCGGATGGAATGCAACCATCTTGTCTCTTTCATTTCGGATGTGCCCCTGGTTTGTAGGCGGTGTTCCTGGATTCTCACAGACGGCTTCATCCAGGGCTCCATGCTAGGGAACGCGATCCGGCTGGTCAGTGCACAAGCTTGCATACCTAAGGTGCCTCTACCTACCGGTAAAACCTGGGTCAGCAGACCTGGACTCGCTGGACCGAATGGAGGCACTTGGAACACTGAAATGGGCGTTTCCAGTGGACCATCGAGGGACTTTTTGCCCTTCCAATGTTCTGTGTTCCAAGCATTTCTTGGCAAATACCCCAGAGACCCCCCGACCCGGCTGCTCTCCACCCCCTGTCCGACCACTATCATTATGCTTTAGCCAAATTTCGGCCCTACCTGCTTGTTAATTCGAGATCGTCACACCCCTGAACCCTCCCCACTTCTGCATCTTTCACCGTCAGTCAATCATCTGACATGTGATTCTCGGAGCCGACCACAGCGTCGCCAATCCAGTCCAAGCCGGTCAAGAACCTGCCCAAACAGACCAATCCCCGGTGGTTATAGTGGCTGCTAATCAACTCCAGACCGATGTTGGATCCAGAACTAATGGTTCAGACTCTTCTTTTTTCTTCTTCTCGATCATTGCCCCAAAAACAAGCTTGCCAAATCCACTCGCTTCTCTCCGCGCTAGAAGCCTCCAACTGTTCGAGGGCTGTCACCTGGCTGCTCTGCAAGTCGGCTGTGTAATCCTTGGTCAACTCCCCATCATCGTACATCTCTTTGTAATCTGGGGAGCAACGCCTACCTACTCTGCCGGGTATGTCAATGGTACGTCTCAAGTGAGGTATTACAAGGCTTACCACGCACGGATATGGTGTGCGCATTGTTTTGGGCCCTGTCCCAGGAAGGGGAAAACGGGATCTCCCCGATGGACCATCTCATTAGACTGGGGATGTCCCTTTCGGCATCGTACCCCATGAGGGAGACGCACACCCACCACGGGACCACCTCCCTGCTTTGGTCGTCATGGGTGAGCTGATCCTGTTACCATTCTGGTAATAATGTCGAGCCATTCTTGTGTCGCTCTCTTCTTTCCCCACACTGGCCGGGCCTCAGAATCCGGTATAATAACTCATCTGGCCCCCGTGTGTCTGGTCGGCTGACTAGAATTCCTTTGTTCTGATTATTCTTCCATTTCACAATCATTCGTATAAGACTCGCAAAGCATCGCTATATAAACCATTCACGAATTCTTATACAATCCGAACTCATACATACCCGGCCGGCATTTGACACCTGTCAGCACATTCGAGCACATATAAAGCACATTGCGGATATCCCCAACTGTCCGTCCACGCACACACACACGCAAGCAAACTGCAAGCGAGTGTCTCAAGACTTGGGTCGAACCGACAGCATCAGTCTATTATAAAAGAAGCACATTCCATCATTCAAAATGAGCGAAGATCTTCACGCTTCCATCACCCGCGTTCGCCTCGCTCTTCTTCAGTCTCAGTTAGTTTAACCCCATCCACCATCCACCACCCGTTTTTTCTTCCTCCCAACTTACACCAATCCACGTAGGGTCCGCGAGCACCCCGGCACTTCACCCGTTCGCCGCCGCAGAAGAAGCATCTCGACGGCCGTAGCCTACGCCGGATCCACCAAAGACGGCGTTCCTCTTTTCGCCAAACAGAGAGTCGTTCGCGTTGCTCTCTGAACAGGCTTCTATCATCTTTTTGGTTACTTTCCTCTTTTAGTATTTCGTTCTCTTCAACATGGCTCCTCATCAGGTCCACAATGGTCGGCAGCAGCGGGAGCAGCAGAAGCAGAAGCAGGGCTCTTCGGCAGGAGGCGACGGCGGATTGGGAGGACTAGGCAAGACTCCCAAGAACTGGATCATGGGTAACGAGGCGTTTGAGGCGAGGATGCCTCATCATGAGGGGATCAAGGCACTGTGGGAGACCAAGTGGAAGTTCCCAGTAAGTTTTCTCTGTGCCATTCGGTTTTTGGCTTCATGATTTTTCATGTTTTACTACTACAATTTCTTTTGCTTTTCGGTACGGGATCAAAAGGGATCATCATCATCATCATCATCATAGCAAGGGAGAAAGGGAGTGAGGGGGGGAAGGAAACAGTACCATCATCAACTCAATGACAATCGAATCTTGGGTTTCGCTCATCACTTAACTGCCTGTTTTATCGATACCGCACTGCACGACGATGATTTTCTTTTCCCTTCCCTTCGCCATTGCCAGAGCGAGCGACCAACCAGGAAATCTTTTCTAACCCAGTCAACACATTGAACACTGCTAAACTCACCTACTCATCTCCATCCAGTGCTCCAAATCCCTCTACCCCTTCCACGACGGTCTCTACGAGGACTTCGCCGCCTCCTTCGACGCCCTCATCAAGGCCAACCTCAACGACATGACCTCCCCCGAGTGGACCAGAACCTTCCTCTCCACAGGCATAGCCGAACAGCTCATCATCGACGGCAACCGAGTCATGACCCAGCACGACAAGCTTCCCCGCATCGAGGCATTCCAGAGACGTCAACTCCGCGAGCAGGCCTCGGCGCTCTACCTCCGCGCCTGCTGCATCTACCGCATCGCCCGTTTCCCCTACATCACCTCTTTTCCCAACGTCAACGACCAGGAGAAGTGGAACGCTTGGGAGAAGCAGAAGGCAGCTTACCTGATGGCCGGCGAATTGTGGGAGGACACTCCCCTGCAGGAGATCAACGTCCCCTTTCTTCAAAGAAAGGCGGCACAGGGCGAGAAGGAGAGCATTCCCGTCTACGTCCGGCTTCCGTCCAGTTATCGCGGAGACGGTGGTTCTCCCGTCGTCATCCTCATGACTGGTCTCGACGGGTACCGTCCCGACAACACGGTTCGGTGCAACGAGTTTTTGGCGAGGGGATGGGCCGTCGTGGTCGTGGAGATCCCCGGAACGGCGGATTGTCCTGCCGACCCCGCGGACCCGGAGAGCCCCGACAGGCTGTGGGAGAGTCTGCTGCAGTGGATGGACACGTACAACCAGAAACCGCATCCGACCTACGAGGAGGAGTGGATCAAGACGTTTGATATGAAGAGGGTCATGGTTTGGGGCCTGAGTGCTGGTGGGTATTATGCGGTCAGGATCGCGCATACGCACTCTCGTAGACTGGCGGGCGTGGTGGCGCAGGGGGCGGGGGTGCATTATTTCTACGATCAGAAGTGGTTGGAGAGGGTGGATGGGCATGAGTATCCTGCTCAGTGAGTTCTCTCTCTTTCTCCTGTCCCTTTCCCTTTCCTAGAATAAGTGGGAAGTTTTGAGTCAGTATGGCTAACAGAGTGTGTGATAACAGACTCACTCCTGCTTTTGCTATGAAGCATGGATACAACTCCGTCAAGGAGTTCAAGGCTGGGGTGCAGAAGAAGTTCTCCTTGTTGGAGAACGGGATCTTGAATAAGCCTTCGACTAGGCTTTTGTTGATCAACGTGAGTCTTTCCCGTCCGCTTCACAATTCGTACCTACACTTCCATGTCTGTCAAGAGACTAGACTAACTGACAATACCCAAAATAGGGTACCCAAGATGGTCTGATGCCCATCGAGGATTCCATGATGCTGATGGAATACGGCTCGCCCAAGGAGGCCCGTTTCTTCACTGGTGCTTTGCACATGGGATATCCCCTGGCCAACTCGGCGGTCTACCCTTGGATGGAGAGCGTGATCCGCTCGGTTAGAGGTTAAATAGTCCTTGTCCAGGACAACCACAGCGGTTTGGTTTGGCTGTGACTGGTATGAACCCCCCGTTCGGAATATGTCAGAAGAGGACAAGGTATCAACGAGGTCAGATGTTTTTTTTTTTGAAACTTGTAAGCACACTTGAACAAGTCAATAGTTTTGGTTGCCCGTTTTTGGAAAGGGCAGCAACAAATACTATCATGCAATTTTTTTCCCATCCATTACCATCCATCACCGCGCTGCCTATTACACTTTCTTCTTTCCCAACTTGACTTACCGTCCCATCCACCCACCATCAACAACCAACACATGGCCGCTCACGTAACCACTCGCTTTACTGGCCAGATACACAGCCGTCCCCTTGAAATCTTCCGGACTTCCCCACTGCAGCATCGTCGCCGGAAGGAAGGCATTACGTTAGCAAGCATGCTACCACTGACTGTCCACACTGCAGTCCAATTAAGCAAGGAAAGAAAGAATGAAAGGAATGAACTTACCCTCCCAGCCGGAATCCTCTCACTAATACTCCTCAACCGCCCCTCATCCTTCAACAGCGCCTCATTCATCTCCGTCTCAATATACCCCGGCGCAATCGCATTGACCGTTATCCCCTCCTTAGTCCACTCATTCGCAAAGCTCTTGGTCAGCTGCCCAACCGCGCCCTTACTCGCCGCATACGCCGGGACCGTCAGTCCGCCCTGGAACGTTAGGAGGGAAGCAAAATTGATCACCGACCCTTTCCGTTCCGTAACGGGGTGCGGCTCGAGACCCAACATGTGCGCGCCCACGTCCCGACATAGCGTGAAGACGGTGTTGAGGTTGACTTGCATCACTTCGGCAAAGTCGGAGTCTGGGAATAAGTGGGAAGGATGTCGGCGTTGGATGCCGGCGCAGTTTACCAGGATGCGGATGGTGTAATTGTCGGAGAGGATGCGGGGGATTAGCTGGGAGACGTCGGTGGGCGAGGAGAGGTCGGCTTTGTAGATTGTGGCTTGGCGGCCGAGGGCCTTGATGGCGTTGAGGGTGGTGGTTGAGGATTCGTCGCGCTGTTGTTAAGAGGGTGAGGGTGTTAGAGGAGTCCTGGATTGGTGTGTTGACTGGAGTAGACAAAGACGGACCTGAACAAGAAGGATATCAGCCCCGGCTTCGGCTAGGGCAATGGCGACTGCTTGACCGATGCCGCGCGTGGCACCGGTGATGAGGGCAGTGTGGCCCTCGAGGGAGAACATGTTTTGGACACTGGTGGTGGTGGATGATGACATCTTTCTGGTACGTGGGTTGTTATTGGGATGAACGGTAAGGTAAGTTCAAAGGAAGGGGAGGGGATTCAAGACTGAATATGGGGATCTTTGGTGACGGGAAGTTATTATACAAAAGTCAACTGAGCTTCAGTCCAATTTGCTCCCCCATCATCAATCATCCTCTTCCCCACGTCCGACCTTGACAGCTTTGGAAGTTCAGCTGTGTCCCCCACGTAGTGTAGAGCAGGCCATCATCCCACGCTCCCCCTATTCTAGAGGTTTCGCTTAAATATTCTTCAACCCCTTGCTTGCTTTGGGATGGTTGTCCAGGGATGAACAAATTTCTTGATCAGCTCGAAGTAAAAGAAAACCCTTGACTCAACATTAAATCCACAACTGAAGTCCATCTTGGTTGCTCCCCCTGACACCCTGAAGAACAAGTGGAGATCGCCCTCCTCGCTAACACCACCGAGCGGGAAAATGCGGGGAAAGCTTCCCCTCTTCCCCACGTTTATGTTCCCCGCTTTCCCCACGGAGTACCAACCGGGTCTTACGGGTTAAACAGGTCTGTCTACAAATGGCTGTTGTCGTCGTCGGGACAATTTGTTTTGACGACAGTTGCAGTCATTCGCTAGAAGTAAGGCCGATATACGGGGTACAGCAGCAAGCAGCTTGGACTCCCGTCACGAGGCCCTTACCTCTGGTGACTCGTTTCTCTTTGGGTTAATTTGTTTTGACGATTATTTGCGAGTCCTGATGGGTGAGCAATCTGTGGTGTGATGGGAACACCCCGACGAGTTCATCCGCGGACTTGAGTGCCGACTGTTGAAGCAGTTGAGTCTTCTCTCGTAAGACCGAGCGGAAGAAGTACGTAAAAGCCTTTTCCATCACTTCTCCTGGGCTGACTTCACTCTACCAATGTTGCACGGCCGGGTGGATAGCAGGGCCTAGTTGAAAGGATTCCAGCTACACTAGAGGCTATGTAGACAAGGTGCCTCTAGGTTCGAAGTTCGGGTGTGGCTTCGGTATAATAAAGTTACATCTGCCACCTTCACTATCTACCTTGTTTCTTTCTTTGCAAGCTTGGTCTGTCTCGCTGTGTAAGCAAACACCAACCAAAGGGTTCACCACTACAACCACATACCATCCATACACATCGTCACTTTGTATAACCCGTGTACGAGGTATCTATCTCGGGCAAACAGAATGACAAGTACAATCAAAGCCTCCGTCCTCCACGGGGCCCGCGATCTCCGCGTGGTGAGTTCAACAACCAACCCTTCTTTTCACATCATCCCATCCTCCCACAACCCATCCCTCCGAGATCAACAACCAAACCCAAAGTCAAACCCAATCATCAACTAACTCCCCCTTTCCCCCAAAAACAGGAATCCCGCCCCCTCCCCACCCTCTCCCCAACCGACGTCCTAATCTCCATCAAATCCACCGGCCTCTGCGGTTCCGACCTGCACTACTACACGCACTTCCGCAACGGCGACATCCAAGTGCACGAACCCTTGACTCTCGGGCACGAGTCCTCAGGTGTCATCACCGCCATTGGCCCCTCCGTCACCAATCTCAAGCCAGGCGACCGGGTGGCTCTCGAGGTGGGCCAGCCGTGCGAGGCTTGCGAGCTATGTGCTCCTTCTGGTGCCAAGGAAGAAAGCAGATACAACATTTGCCGCTCCATGCGTTTCCGCTCTTCAGCCAAGGGCTGGCCGCAGTTCTCCCACGCCCAGGGGACGCTGCAGGAGGTCGTCGCCCACCCGGCCAAGTGGTGCCATAAGTTGCCTGAAGGCGTGGATTACACGATGGGCGCGCTGGCGGAGCCGTTGAGTGTGGCGATGCATGCTGCGGGAAGGGCCCAGATCGGTTCTCTTGTGTCTGTGTCTGAGCCTGAGACGAAGAAGAGGGCCAAGATTCTAGTCTTTGGCGCGGGAGCAGTCGGTTTGCTCTGCGCTGCCGTGTGCAAGTCCATCACCAAGGGTCAGGCGACGGTGGTGATTGCGGATATCCAAGCTGATAGGGTCAGGTTCGCAGTGGAGAATGGGTTTGCTGATGCGGCGGTTGTGGTGCCTATCCCGGAAAAAAAGAGGCCGGAGACGATAGAGGAGAAGTTGAAGTATGCGAAGAGCGTGGCGGAGAGGGTTAAGGGCGCTGAACTGCTGCCGGTGGACGGCGAAAAGGTTACGGTGGGGGAGGTGAATGTTACTTTTGAGTGTACGGGGGTGGAGAGTTGTTTGCAGAGTTCTATTTATGTGAGTTACCCTTTTTTTTCGCCATTTGGTTTTTGCTTGCAAGCCCCTTACACTATTGGGCATGAATAGCTAACATTCTGAAAAACAGGCAACGGCACCGGGAGGCAAGATCATGATCATTGGTATGGGAAATCCCATTCAGACACTGCCCATCTCGGCCGCTTCGCTGAAGGAGGTTGATCTCCTGGGCGTGTTTCGGTATGCGAATGCCTATCCGAAGGTGATTGAGCTGTTGGCCAGTGGGGATCCACATCTGCCGGACTTGTCTAAGCTGGTGACGCAGCGGTATAGTGGTTTGGAAAGTATCCCCAAGGCGTTCGACATGGCGGCTAGGGTTAAGGATGATGAGGGGAATCTGGTGTTGAAGGTTATGGTTGATATGTAGAAGATAATGGAGGGAAAATGCTGTCCGTATAGTAGAGCAAAAGGAGATAGATGACTTTGATTAAAACAAGAATGAGACATGAGACATGATAGAAGAGACGGGGGCTAGTTATGGTTCCTACAAAAAGCATAGTAGTAGACATCGCAACAGACATGATCAGCGGAACAGTACACTCCTTGCGATACCCATAACATGTTGTTCTTATTTACTTTTGTATTCTTCTATATGTCAGGAAATTACGTTTTCCAACATCTTGTCCCGGGCCCTAACCTACGACTTATCCGGGAATCCGAAATCGACACCAAATGGCGGATACACATAACGCTGCACCTTGCCCCCCTTGACCAACCCTTCCGAATAATCATTCAGAAGCTTCTGATCCTCAGCATCCAGCTCGATCAACTTGGCGTTAGCCTCGATGCGGTCCGGGTTCGTCGACTTGGGCAAGACGGTGCTTCCACGGTAAACTGTAAATATTCGGAACCATGTCAGCACTTGTTTTTTTTCTCCAATTCGCAAGCTCCACCAGCACATAATGAATGTCCGCCAGGCCAAATATAAGAAGACGGGAAATACGTACGGTGATAGCTCAACAAAACAGTAGTAGGCTTAACGCCATGCTTCTCAGCGACCTTGACCACCGGCTCGGCGCTGGTCACGGGGCTGCCGGTGCTGCCGAAGGGCGAGTAGGCCATGATGTGGATGCCCTTCTCCTTGCAAAAATCGACAATCTCCTGCTGGGGCAGTTGCGGGTGGTTCTCGATCTGGTTGACGGCGGGGACGATGGTGGCGTGGGGAAGGAGTTCTTCGAGATAACGCTTGCTGTACTGTTTTGTCGCTTTAAGTCAACAGCCGCCGGCATAGGGGTTAGGTAGAAGAATCACATACGTTGGAAACACCAATGGCCTTGGTCTTGCCGCCCTCTACCAGCTTCTCCATGTTCTTCCAGATCTGGATGTGGCTGTAGTCGCGGAGGATGTCGCGCTCGCCGTTGGGAAGCTTGGGGAATCTGTCATCGTTGCCTGTGTTGTTTCGTGTGTCAGTCATCCGCTTTGAAGAGTCAGTCGTTTATATAAAATTGAAACTCACCTTCGGGGTTCATCAATAGCGGCCAATGCTGTTACCACCAAAAATAAATCACCACTCGTTAGCACGTCTCTCAACACAATTCACTTCCCTTCCTCTTCCTCCCCAGCCCTTACCAACCCCCACTCAGCACCACCACACTCTCCTTTCACAGAACAGCCATCATAATCCCGGGGAAAGAAAAAGGATCGGATACATACCACCAAAAACAAATCAACATACTCCAACCCCAAATTCTTCAAGCTCTTCTCCAGCCCCACCTCCGCTCGGCTCGTGTACGTCGCCCACAGCTTCGTGACAACAAACACGTCCTCGCGCTTGACGATGCCCTGGTCGAACGCCTCCTTCAGGCCGGCACCCACGTGCTCCTCGTTGCCGTAGCAGTAGGCCGTGTCGATGAGGCGGTAGCCGGCTTTGAGGGCGGCGACGACGGCGTCTTTTACGAGGGTGGATTCGCCTTGCCAGGTGCCTGTTAAGTGGGAGGGGGAGGTTAGTTCGCTAGCTCGAGGGTGGGTGGTTGGGGGAAAGAGCGAGGGTAAGTGGTTTGGTGAGGTGGGAAGGGAGGGAAGCTTACCAAGTCCCAGGGCGGGAATGTCAGCTCCGGTGTTGAGCTTGAAGGTTTTGGTGGCCATTGTAGTGGTGATGGTAGTGGTTGTGAGTTGTTTCGTGCTGTTCCTAACCGCGAAAAAGCTTGGTGCTGCTGTTACTGCTGTTGCTGCTGGTCGTGATGGCAAGTTTCGACGAAGGAGTACGGGGAGTGAAGATGACAGAAGATGTCTACTTTTACACAAGGTAGCCAGATTTCGTGGACTTCACTCGAGATATTGATATGCCAAGAAGGGGAGTAAACGAAAAGACTTGGTTTATAAGAGAGAAATGTCTGGTTTTAACGAAGTCAAGCTTGGGACGAAAGAAAGTTGTCCAGGATTTAGTTGAGAAAACGCATTGGATATTCGGCTAAATGGTAATCGGCGTTAGAGATGGAGTGAGGGGGATTTACCTAAGTATAGCTACGGTACCATCCGTTTCGGGATATCCGTCTTCGAGGAGGCTAGATACCTTGTCCACATTCGTTCGTTTCCTTCATCTTGCCTGTGACTGCGTATGTGATCTTAGGATCCCAGATTCCGATTGTAAGCTTTTCGCGGATAGAGTGGGTGGGGGGTAAATGACATCGACAGGCCATTGTGTGATTTGAACATTGTCAACTTTGAGTTGAAGAATTTCATGAAACCCAGGACTTGGATCCTCTATCTCTCCATGTCTAGTCCGGAATTCCTATCCCTCCATGTGTAGTCAGGACACAATGGAGTTCGGCATTGCATTCCAGATACTGGACAGCATCACGGCCGTAGGATATCGATCACCTCGCTGGTGAAAGCCTCAAAAACAGACATCGTCAACATGGGACGGAAGTCAGTCTCTCACCTTACCCCGCTACAATGGCCTCGGAGGAACGAACTGCCCCTCTGTCGTAGTGAGACCTTGCTTGGTGTTTAGCCATCCCCACCCCCACAGTTTAGTGGTAACGGCGAGTGGATCATGTCCCCTAGCCTTTTCCGGGGGGGACTCAAGGGGACAGCTTTCCAAGGCATCGAGGCTTGTTCGAACCGATTGCAGTTCCAAAAACCGGAGAAGTGGAATGCCTGGCTTGACTTGGTCGTCTTATTGGTGGCATTTAACATGACCGATTTCCGTCGGTTAAGCTCCGTTGACGCGAGACAATTCCGTCAATGTACCGAGAGTGAACATCCGTTACGGTCTTGGTCCCTACGCTGAAGACTAGCTTCCTCAGCATACTGTACCCTAGGTATAAATGATCACCCCCACCCACCTCTCATAGACTCAAGTCAGTGAGAGAGATAATGTATGATTCAACCCTCTGCCCTTGGGAGTTCGAGTTGTGAAAAAGTGAACGAAGACGGCAAAACGCACGCAAAAGAGGCCCACGTCTTAGTGAGGAAGAGAAATTGTATAATTAATGCACAAAGTCTACAAAGAGACGCCTCTGCATGCATTATAAGGAAGAAGTATAAGTAGTATTACAGCAAACGACGCCGGAATTGCCGTCTATCCGGCAATCAGCACCCAGAGAAGGAAGAAAATCATCTACACAAAGTCGCACAGCGTTAGAATCTCATGCAAGACATACGTAACAGAGCAGGAGGGATTTCGGTAACTCACCAGAACGCCAAACATCTTGGCTAATAGCCATCTATTACTTGAAACACGGCTCCAATATTTGAGCAGTTCTTTTTGCGCACCTTCGACGTTTTCTACCACGTCCTCTCTACATCGTGGGTTAATATTGTCTTGGTTTCTCGAGCTGTCTTGAGCTAATGAATGGGTAACTTACGTGTTGGCATCGATCCTTTGGATCATCTCAGATTGCTCGCTGACCATGGCTGCGAGCTGACCGAAAATGGAACCCAACTCGTTGATGGTCGACTCAATGGCCTCGATCGCTTGCCCTCGTTGTTGGACATAGGTATTTTGGCCCTCCTCCAACATCTGCAGCTGCATCTGCTGGTCTCCCATCGGGTTCAGGGAGATAAGATCTTGCTGCCCCGGTGCTGGCGTCCCCCTGCTAGGCGTGCCGTATAGCGGCGACGCAGACTGTTGTAGGGAGGCATGCGCGTGCTGGCCTACTGACGAAACGAAGTTCTCGGTCCTCGACCTCGACGCCTGGATGTTCTTGGTTCTGATTTCTAGCACGTCCTTGAAATTGGCACCAACATCTCCCAGCTTACCCTGCAGGAGCAGAAGAATGTTCTTGTTGTTCTCCCCTTCCTGGTCGGGCTTCGGGTGCAGACGCCTGGAAAGATCTTGCAGGTTCCTGATCTTCTCGTTCAATGAAGACAGGTCTTGTTTGATGACGAAAGTCAACTAGCATGACGAGTTAGCCAGCCGGACACGGCGTCGGGGCGCAAAGGACAAGCTTATAGGTAGCTGAGCTTACCTCGTTAATCTCAACGGGCCTGTCATCGAAAAGAGTCTTCTTCTTGGCCAGCTGTGCTAGCTTCTCCAGCTTGGCCATTGTCGCAGAAATGCCCCTTCCAATCTCTGCAGCTCCCCTCGCAAACTCGGACCTTCTAGGCTGGGCATCGCTGTTGGCAGCATGTTGTTGAGCAGTGTCGAGAAGTCGCTGCTTTCCTGGCTTTGCGGCCTGCCGACGCTGGGCAGCCGCAACAATCTGTCGGAACTCCTCCGTGCGGTCGTTGATGGCAAAGGTACCCATGATTAATGGTGTGTTGGTATATAGTGATGCGGCGAACCGTTCGTTTCCAAAAGCAAATCGCAGTGAATGGGCCGTAGAGGGGCGCGTGTACCCCTAAGCGACCGGCACGCGGTTAGGTCGTTATCGATAAAGCGTCGGTGTTCGTAAGGAAGCCAGGAATTGAGACGTCGTCAACTTGGTCAATCGCGACCGGGGGCGGATGCGACTTGTAGGCTGGAAGTATGCGGAGGAGATTATGGATTGGCAAAGTGGAAATGGGCGGGCACGGGGGATGCGAGCGAGGGCTAATTCGCGGCTGGCGAGGAGGTCGGGCGGCTCGTCGGGTGTTCTTAATTAAAGGTCGTGTCTATCAAAGGCGCTTGAGAGAGGGATTCGGGATGGCGTTTGAAGGAATGGCGTCGCTATACTAGTGTCGTCGTCGTCGTCGTCGTCGATGTCGTCGAATCAAATGACTGCAGTGGTGTTGTAGTCGTCGAGGTTCAACAATTTCCTCCGTTGTTGTCGATAAAGGGAAAAGGTGGTTACTTGGTTTCAGGAGTGCCCGTGACGCTGTGTGGCTCGGCCCCTGCAGTTCAACAGGAAAAGCCTACCGTGCAGAAACTCAAAGCTGATTGTCCAAGACACTGTGTTTAAGCTGTGCATGGACTAAGCTGATTGGTCAAACAATCCAATCTTTTTAAAGAACAACTATAGCACCCCGTTCAACCATGAAGTCAGCGCCTCGGCATTGCAACTCTTCCTCATCAATTAGTCTTCTTCGCCACTCCTTGGGAATAGTGTAGTGTATTATTCTTGCCCCAGACTCATGAATGTCAACATGTTTACGATGATGTGGCTTACCGGAATGGGCTACGACGCTTGAATGGCCTCTGTTCCAGGGCTACTGCATTCTTGATCCAGTAAACCCCATGGACCAGGGGGAACGACAGCTGAGGCGCTTGGAGCGGTATCAGAAACCAGAGGCCTGTCATTGCTGTCAATGTCAGCAAGGGTGATACGCCATTGACATCGAGTGAGGCTCTCGTCAACTACAACCACAGTATCTATATTGGAAATTCATGGATTGAATGCGGCTGTTGATTATTTAGAAGAAGCACATTTGGCAGTGACGAATGGCTGGATGAAGAATGCTGGCCATTTGCCTCCAAGCCGCTTCGCGTAACGATGACGGGTTCAAGAGGAATTTACAGGACTGACAGTTGGATTGCATGTGGAAAAGTCCGCTGAAAGCAATACACCCCAGATGGAATGTGTCCAGGATCGTACTGGCCCAGGATTCAAGCAGATACACAAAAGATGCACCATGGCAGCGGGGGTATCTCATGTCTAGCTAGAGTATTTCTTACTGTCTTGAAATGGGAGCTTCATCACCTCAAAGATTGACCTTGTGCGGTTTCTGGGAAGAGAAAGGATGCTCCGGTTCGAACGGTGTCAAGATTCCATGTCTCAGGGAAAGATAAAATCACAGGCATCTCTTAACTGCATCCGCGGCTCAATGCGGTGGTATCTAGTTAGTGTTCGGAGTGGAGAACACTAACAGCCCGGCTCATTAAAGCTCGCCCCACGTCCGCCTGACGTGCCAACGCTGGGCTGCTGATCCCTGCCGCGGTCCCGGACCACAATCTTCAACAACGAGAAAGAGCAGGGGAATGGTCAACTCCGCGCAAGATGAATGTCTTCAACATTTTTATGTCTGTCTTTTCATATTTTCATCCCTTCTCCCACTCCAACACAGACTCGTTATTCTAGCCTCTCCTTTCCGGATTTTCCCACCCTCAATTTTCCTTTTGCGACAGTTCCATCCAGCATTGCGCATCCATTTCCCCCTCTCTGGTTACCAATCTATTGCGCTACTTTCAACTAATTAATCGGCCGGCCAACCGACCAACCATCTACCACCATCCACCACCACCACCGACTTAATCATCGGCATCCGCCTTGTCTCTCTCTCTACGTTCCTCGCCCTTTCCACACCGAACAGGCTGCAGACACCTTTGGCGCCACGGATACACACGTTTGAAACTGTTATTTGGGTACTCGAGGATCCCGCCGGCAAGAATTACGGGATACGCCAGGCTGCAGGAGGTTACTTTTACCTTTCAAATCTTCCGACACTCGGTTTTCATCCCACATCTTCTATCCGAGTCGATAGCGCCACCCCGACACCTGCTTGTACATATCGGCGCATGCCACAGCGACGTTCATCGCCATAAAGAGCAGCGACCAATGCCATGGACGGGACATACGGGAACGTCTTCCCGACGAACAACAACACCAACCCACTGTTAGTTGCCCTGCTCCTAGCCTCCCCTTTTCTATGATGCCCGAGCAGGTCGCTTCTCAGCCTGCAGTTGCTAAAGGCCCATCCGACACCACGCACAGAAACTCTAGCGCTCCGAATTCGAACACCAAATACCAAATCAACGTCAACCGCTCAAAGACGAGAAAATGGGCCAACTTCAAGCCACAGAACTACGACGGCGACGATTGGGGAAGTGAGGAGTATGACGATGTGGACGAGGAACCTCCATCGGCCCCTCGACAGCCCGTTAAGCAGTACAAGCCATATACACCAGCATTGCATCTACAAACTCAGCAACCGCCAGCTGCTCCCTCGGGCCGTATCGCTCAGATGGTAGCAGCCTCATCGACGCCAACGACACCGAATGCCCTGGGAAGAGCAGGCACATTTGGCCAGCCTCAATACGATGCGCCTCGGGCCAGTTCACCTGTGGTTGGAGGTAAACAGGTTCTTCCGTCCATGCAGCGCGTAGCGACCATGCCCCAGAATGTCGGCCCGGGCGCGGCCTCTGCACAGTTTCCACCGCGCAAGAGCAGTATGGGCCCTCGCGAGGTCCCGGACATGACTGATCCGACCCGCCAACCAAGGTCTACCACTTGGGCCGTGCCAGCGCAAAGACCGTGGTCAGACGCTCGATCAGCCTCCCCCAACGCCAGGTCACCGGTATCGCCGGACAAGCCGCTGCCACTTCCACGACCTACTGACATATATCGACGAATGGGCGAGGACAACAACGCGGGGTCGCAATCTTCGCAGCCCGTAAACCAAGGACACCTGGGCAACGGGGCTCACGCTGTGGGCCTAAACTCGGGATCGGGTCACCAGGAACGTCGAGGTAGTGCAGCAGGCAATGAAGGTGGTGATAGTCCATGGGGTCGGAGGCCGAGTCTAGCTCCAGTGATGGAGCGAAACAGCGAATATGGGGCTGAAGGGTTGCTCGCTGGGCCTGCGTCGAAGGAGTCCGGTGTCCAACCTGTCGCTTTTGGAGAAGAAGAGGACAAGGTCCGGCGGTTCTCGACAAGTCCCACACTACCGGATGTCACACGCTTGTCGGGGTTCGGAGAAGATCTGTTCTCAACTCGATTTTCGGTTCTAGCGCCTCAACTGGCTTCCATTCCAGACATCTCCAACCCTTCTAACCCAACAAAGGCTCCCGAACAAGAAGGGATCTCTACAGACGAACGTGCGGAAAAGGACGGTAACTCGGAACAAGGTATCGTTACACCGGCAAATCCCAGTGTGGCGCCTATCTCACTACCAGTCGCCGAACCTGTGTCTACCGCACAAGCGCCACCGCCTTCTATCGGAGGTGCGGCGGTGTCTGATGCAACACCGCAGTTTGCACGGGAACCCATTCGCTCTGGATCCCCGCCTAACCAGTCTGTCGGGCTGCTGTACACCCAAGACGACGTTAATGGATCCCATGTAGTTGCCAATGCTTCTCAACAACTGCCATACAAGATGGAAACGCCACAGGAAACTATTTCATCGGATATGGACAAACATGCTGTCCGCCCGCGCCTTCCAGGTGGTTGGGTAACCGAAACATTGTCCACGCCTGGAGAAACCCCACCGCCGGCTCGTAACGATACCTTTTCGAACATGACGAGCAACTTTCCCCAGCCCCCAAGTTCGTCACTCGTCGGCAAATCCTTTGCTGATACAGAACGTCCGTCAGACTTTGATCAAGCTCAACAGCACGACCCATCCGGCCCCAGAGAAACGAGTGAAGCAGCTATCGAATCCCCTCATTCGACGTCTGATGGGGAAGCTGCTCAGGCAACACCTACCTCAGATAAAGACACGCATGCAAGTCTTGCGCCGACAATGGAACCTTCAAAACATCGGGACATCACTCCGACTGCACCACTAAACTTTAACCGTGGTTTGCTAGGGAGCAAGTCTGCTGAACCACTGCACGTGCTACCTTCGCCAAACGTGGGTGGTGGCTCGAACTTGAATACGCCCGGCGACTCTCCACTCAAAGAAAGTGACCTGCTCAGAGACGAGATAACCAAGTTCTTGGGTGACCCTGAAATATCTGGCAGCTTTTTGGATATTGCCCGGTCATCATCAACACCAAATCACCCCGCCCCAGATGCTACCCGAGAGAGCAGCTATTTTGGGGATGTCTATGGTGACTATTTTGCTGCCAGCGAGGATAACCAGAGTCAAACGAAACCGAGTGCTACTACGCAACCGGCTGCGACAGATACACCTACACCCCTGGCGGCTGGCACACCAAAGGGTGTTGTTGTAGCGCCTCTCTCTGTTGCTACCTCTACAAGTTCTGAATCTGGTGCCTCTACTTCGGTGTCCAAGCAAGGTTTGACTGAGGACACAGCTGGGGCCCCCGAGTTACGGCGTCGCTTCTCCTGGGAAGGACCCTCCGAGCAAGACGCCGCAAACGCTCCTGAAGTGGACCCTGCATACCATGTCGAGCAGAAGTCCCGTACCTCTGGCCCTGATGGTGTTTCTTTCGCTCCTTCGACGCCAGCTGCAGAAAATACCGGAGAAACAACGGCACTCACTCTGTCGAATGCCGACGAACCCCTTTCTACTTCGACAGAAAGTGCCGATAAGCCTGCTCAGGCAGCATCGGGTGAAATATCTCATGAGGTATCGGAAATCAGCACGCTTCCATCGCGGTCAATGTTAGAGCCAGCTTCTCCCGTATCTGCTAGCTCAGACGAGGATGCTGAATCCCGCCGTCGTGCTCTCTCCATGGGCCAAGACAAGATTCTTGTTCAACCTTCGGAGCAGCATCCCACCTTCGGGGTGAAGCCTTCTAGTCGCCCCGGCTCATCGGGGCCAAAGGACCCAGTCAATATCATATCATTTCGGCAAATCATGGATATGCCTTCATCGGCAGATCGACTTAAGCATTACAATGAAACCCGATTGCAGTTCGCCGCTATTGACACGGGATTGGAGGAGTGGCTGCTGGCTATGAGGTCCAAGTATCCCGAACATTCGAACGCTACGTCGTCCTTCAAGGACTCGCTGACGATGCCTGTTACGCCAATGGATGCGCAACAAAGCGGAGAGGCTATGGCACTCAGCCCGGGTTACTTCCAGCAAGGTGGACGGCCAGGAACCAATATGCCAATGCCGCCGTCGTTGCCCCATGGGCACTCGGGCTTTGCGCATTCGAGCCAGCAGGTCGGAACCAAGGGCAAGGAACTCCTTTTTGCAGCTGGCAAGGCCGGGAAGGGTCTGCTCAGCAAGGGAAAGAACAAGTTGAAGGGAACTGGCGACAAGGTATTCTTCTAGGTTTCGGTCCCATCTTGGTCGACACGCGGCCCTCCTTTACTTTAGCCTTGACTTGACTTTTGGCATTACCGGAACTGTTTTGCCATTTAATGAACCTCTTATTTTTTTTTTTTTCGGTCATGACCTACTCAGTTGTGGATTCTAGCAGAGCTCGCAATCCTGACGCAGGCATTACGCACATCTGAGATGGAACAGTTTGCCGATTTATACACGCGGTTGATTCCCAATTTCTTGTTTGATCTTTTACCGGCCTACTGCGATGTATTATCATATGAGGGCGGATTGAAATGTAATGGAGAGTTCCACGGAAATTTTCAGGCTTTTTGTTGTCAATACGGATCATACGGGAAAGGGAAAGTTATGGGAGAAATCTTGTCTGTCCATTGAGAGATTGGATATGAAAGATGGGTGACAAAGTACAAAGTTATAGGGCAAGTCTTCGCCTTGGTGAGCCAGCCGGCCATTACATGCCTCTTTTCCAGATGTCACACATACTCTATCTTCCATCCCTCTTCCATTCTTCCATATCGTCGGCACGAAACGATGAGCAGCATGGCGTGCCGCATTCCAGTCGTACAAATGACATCCACTCCACAGAATCCAATTCTCCAGATTCCAGAGATCTGCTTGGCGGCGGCACTGTCTCTCACTATCCCGCCATTGTTGGCTTCCGTTTGGCTCTCCACACTGTCCATTTGTAGGGCCGAGACTGGCAGGTTTCCCGTAGGCCAGCATGGTGGCCCAGCGTTGTGCTTCCCCAACTTCCCTAGACCACGTTTCCTATCAGACTGTGTCCATTGAGTGCAACGGTGCGTTCCAGCTCGTGCAGGGCACTTCGATTGTCACACACATCTCATACTGCCTGCCCGCTTCGGCTATGACCCTGGCTTTTCTGGCTTACGATCCCTCTTCTGAACCTTCATCAGCTCGCCAACTAGAATCCTTTACCTAGTAAGACCCATTCTTACCGCTCGAGATCGTAGCGGAAGCTGTATCGTGATTACGATTTTGAGGCCATGGGGCTCGTCAAATGCCTTCAAAGCGGATCCTAGCGGTTGTTGCCCGTACGGGAGGGCCATCAAGATCTCAATGTCGCTGAACCGAAGGGATGAAGCGCCCATCGCAGCCCAACAAGCCCAGCGAATCCTTCAGGCCCCTGTCGACCCTAACAGGGCATGCACGGCGTGTTGGTGCTTCAGTTCCCGGATCCCTGTCCGAAAGAGACGCTGGGGGTGGACTTCGACCAGGAGTCCCGGCTCCCGCAATTTCAGCACCTGCAGCAGCGTCTCCAGAAATCTTCAGGCCGAACCGCGTCTGCCTTGTGACTAGTCTCTTCACCCTTCCCGCCTCAGCAGTTCCTGACCTTGACGCGCAATTCCTCTCTTCAACTTCTACGTGTCCATCTCTCGCTGTGCTGAGTGTTTGCCAAAGAAGCATTTCAGTCAACACAACCGCAATCGTTGAGACGCGGGCTTTGGCGAACTTCAAGGGTTGATTGCTAGCCGCCGTTACAGCCAGCCTGAGCTTGTCGCTACCTATATCGGAAACCCTCTCACGACCGCATACACCCACACCGTATGAGTCGGAACTCAAGAGCCTGCAGTGACACCAATATCAACCAGCCAGCAACACAATCCTTCTCCTTCTATCATCATAATATCAACACAAATTGAAGCTCGGATTTATCCGTCCAGAAGGAAGCTACCCCAGGAGCCAGCGTAGCTCCACCAAAATCATCACCTCTTGGCCCAAGCTTCTCGGCTGCTGGTGCCGTTGACCAGGAACGAATCGAGAGTGGAGGTTCGCGTGCTGGGGAAAACGCTCGAGAAGCAATTGCAGGAGAAAGACGTGGATGCAAAGACTGGTGATAGTCTGAACATCGAGAAGTAAGACGATAGTGACAGCGACACGTCCTGCGTTGTCGTCTTACAGCAGCATCTCACTCGGACTCCACCGCTGTTTGTGCTCGTCCACTGCCAGGAGAGCCTTGCTGACATTGATACTGACCAAAAAGTCACTTTGCCATCATCACCTCCTCGCGACAGATCGTCGACCTCACCTCTCACATGGCAGCTCACACGCAAGCCGCGCATAACGGCCAATACTATACGCATTCGGCTGGAAACGAATCGCAGCAGGTCTACTTTCACCCACACCAACCATCGCAACATCAGCAACAAGTGCAGCAGCAACAGGGCCACGCCCCGCAGTCGCATTTCCAATTGCATTTAACGTCTCAGCCGCAGCCGCAGCCTGATGGTGTCAATGCGCCGAATCGACACACGTCTTTTATAGGGCTGCCTCCAATTTCTCGCGCATCCACCTTTTCATCTCTACTGAGACCCTTCCAGGTCGAAGGTTCTGCTGCCGGTGACAACACCAGAACATACAGTGACGCCGCCGACGCTACCCCGCGAAACTCAACCCAGTACAGTCAACAAGGGCAACATCAAGGTGAACAACAAACTGTTGTCGCAACCCCGCAACGAACTGTGTCTGAAACCATACCCATGGCTACGAATCAGACAGCCGGTGGTGTACAAGCACCGCACAGCCGTCAGTTCACGACCCAAGCACCTCCACCAGGCCAGTTCATCCAAAATATGTATCGCCCAACTCAAGGTCCGGTTCAGGGTCAACAAATGCAAATCCAACCAGGACAATCATTGCCCAATGGTTTCCCGTCACCTCCTATCACTGGGCCCATGCCTGGTCAATCGCCGGTCCAGACCCAGCCAGGTCTACCCGGTCCACCAGGCAACGCCCAGGGGCAACCCGGATCGGCCCCGGCGGGAGCACCCGGGGCTCCCCTCCCTATCATGAACGGCGGAGCTCCGCCCGTGGCTCCACAACTCACGCCAACAAACGGTGGCCGGGCCCCCGTCATGATGCCCCCTCCTCACTTGGCAGGAAGGTTCCCGCAAGGAAACTGGAACTTGCAGGAGTCTCATCTGTCTGAGCCACTACAGCCCACGAATCGTCACAGACACTCGTCCAGCAATGCTTCACAGCAACCCTTCTATGGATTCGACAAGGAGACGGGCGTTCCGGCATCGCCACGGAGCCCGAGGGCTCCAGACACAGAGCAGCAACCACAAATCCAGCCGGTAGACCAAAACGGCCAAGGCCCGCAACTCAATGGCCAGGAGAATTCCGGGAATCTCGTCGAGCAGCGTCCACGCGGAAAGTCGTTGTCACAGACGAATAATGTGGACATCGATGACCTACCGGCACCCGGTCCGATCCCAGCTGCTGATGGGAACAGGGCCAGGCGCAACTCGGGTATTTTCTCGAGCCTCCGCAACAGGGTTGGAGCAGGTACTCCGGTCACGAGTGACGCGGTTTCTGATGCCAGTGTCATGACTGACGAATCAGGAGGACAGCAGCAGAGACACGCGCAAATGTTCAGTGCGCTAGGTGCCGCAGCGGGAACGGAGGCTCCTCAAAGTAAGGAGAGCATCATTGCCCATGGAAGCACCACGCCCGTGCGGCGGGTTACAGTCACCCCTTCCTCAGCACCAGCAGTATCAGCCGAAGAAGAGTCGAATGGGCCTCAAGGCCATGTTCAGTCGGTCATCGCAGCAGGAAGTCCACCGAACATTTGGAGGCGCCCAATCCGCTAGGCCTACAACGCAGGGCCAACCCCAAGGTCAGCATCAGGCACAACAACCCGTTACTATGAGTGGCGCCAACCCCATGTCTCCGTTGCGGCCAAAGACCTCGGGTCAGGTTCCCCCTCAGCAACATCAGTCTCTTGCCTCTATTGCCGAGAATGAGAAGGCTAGGAAGCCCTCTGGTGGCATTTTTGGCATGTTTAAGAACAAGGACGCAAAACCGGTGTCCGGTACGGGGGCTGGCCAGCAGCTCATGGACCCCAGGCAGACACTTCAAGGAATGGGACGAGGACAAATGGCTATACCGCCCCCTGGTCAAGGGCAAGTTCCCCAGCAGCAGCAGCAGCAGCAGCACCAATACCGTCAACAGTTTCCTGTTGGCCCAGATGGGAAGTTAGTGGTCTTCCCTGGCCAGCTTCCTCCTCAACATCAACAGTTCATGCAACAAGGCCATCCAGGCATGCATCAACTGCAGCAGATGCAGATGCAAGGGCAAATGCCAGGACACCAACGGCCCCAGCCTAACGTGCAGCAGTCCCAGCCTTCTTTGCAGGGTCAGAATGGAGGGCCACAGAGTCAACCGCAACAACAACATGAGCAACAGTTTGAGACTCGTCAGGGTCAACCTAATGGCCGAAATGTCGTCCCTACTGGTCCTGTCAGCCCGCCTGTTGCTTCTCCGGCACCTTCAGAGACTCAATCCGCGGTAGACCAGCCTCATCCCCAGCAAAGCACACCTCCCGCCACGAATGGACAAGCGCCTCCGGCGGCAACGAACGGAGGTCACGGGCGGACGTTCTCTCAAGGCAGTAACTTGCCCAACATGTATACTCTCGGTATGAACGGTAATCCGCCGAATCAGTTGCCTGCGCGAAAGCCGGTAGGGTCCAGGGTTGTCTCAGCCCAGATCCCTCCTAGTCTTATGCCACAGCAACAACAACGCCAAAGAGGGGCTTCGGTCTCCTCAGCTCAACCTCCTCCTCAACCCCAGAGTCCACCGAGTACGCAACCCCCGTCAATATTGGGAACCCAACGCCCTTCGGATTCTCAGCATACGTTGGCATCCCAAGGTGGAAAGTCGCTTCCCGATATTCCCACCTCTGCCCAGCGGGCGGGTCAAGAAAGCCCAGGTCCGCAAGAACAGCAAAACCAAGGCCCGGGTCGCCAGCAACAACAACCACAACCTATGCCAGCTGGCCCGCAGAGCCTTGGTCAAGGTACTCCCAGCCAAAACACTCCTCCTCCTAGTCATTCGCTACCTCGCGCGACGACTATGGGCCCTGGCTTTCCGGCACAACAACAACAAAACAACAACAACAACAACAATCCCAGAGACCTCAGCAACCCAGCCCCGCTTTTCCCCCTCGGAATGTCATGACTACAGCCCCTCCGCCTCAAGAGAAGGAGCAGAGCAGTATCTCGAAGTTTTTCAGGGGCACTAAGCAACAGACCTCGCCAACAACATCTCAGGAGAAGAGCAAGTCGTCGTTCATGAGCGGTTTGAAGCGGGGTGGCAACACCAAGCAAGGAGAGGCCCAGCCTTCAAGGTCTCAGCCTCAGTCACCTCAAGCCAACCAAGGACAGTTCCAGCCGAACCAAGCTCAGACACAGCAACAACCACAAAGGCAGCCAGGCTTACAGCCCCCTCAGAACCAGCTGCCAGGACAACCGCAACAGCAGGGGCAGCAGCAACAGCAGCCAGAATCACGGCCAGGACTGGGAGACCGACGGCCAAGCCCACATTTGCAGTATCAAAATGAGAGGCAGGATCCGTCCAAAGCTCCTAGTCCACCGGCACAAGCAGATCTTGCCATGCGCCCACCTGCGCAGCAGCCATCGCAGCAGCCTACCCGCCCACCTGTTACATCCGCTCCTGGCGCCGCTCCCAATCAGTCTAAACCTGCGCCCCAGATGATACAACAGCCGCAACAGATGATTCAGGGACAGCCAGGCCCGGCTCCCGGTCTTGTTCAAGGGCAGAGACCGCCAGTACCGGGGCAGCCGATGCATCCCAACCAGATGGCAGCAGGCCAAGCCCAAGCCCAAGCTCAAGCCTTTGCGCAGCAACAATTCTTCCACGCGCAAGCTCAAGCCCATGCGCAAGCCCAGATGTTTCAGAGGTTCCAGCAACATCAAGCCCAACTTGCTGCTCAAGGCCAAGCCCAACAACGTCCAGGTCAGCCTCCCAACCAAGGCCAGGGTCAAGGCCAAGGCCAGAACCCAGCAACATCCGGTCCTCCAGGACAGGAACAGCGGTATGCCCAGGTACCCATCCCAGCTGGTTATGGGTTTGTACAACAAGGGATGGCAACACCTTCTCCCATGGGTATGCCGATGCCGTACTTCATAAACGTTCCTGGCCAGCCGCCACAAGGTTATTTTATGCCGATGCCAGGGCAGATGATGCCCCCGGGGATGCCCGGAATGCCGCAAATGTTACCTCCTGGGTTTGTTCCCGGTCAACCTTTCATGTACGGTCCTCATCCCGGTGGCCCAATGCCACCTGGATCTATGCCACCCGGGCCACCTGGGGGCATGCCTATGGCCACTCCTCCTGGAAGCGTGCCAATGGCTACACCTCCTGCTGGCACACCTACTCCTTTCTTTACCCCACCGACTTCCCACGGAGGACCTCAACCAGTCTTCCACGTTCCCGTACACCCATCGTCTCCTCCGCCAGGCAGTGAGCACTCTGCGCAGCATCCTCCAAGCATCTCGCCTACTCCTCCTCCGTTCATCGGAACAGCGAGACAGGCTAGCAACATCTCTCCTCGACCTCAGCTGCAGCAGTTCCAGCAGCCACCGCCGCAGCCATCCCCCTCTCCGCCGAACTATCCCCTCCCGAACACTCCCTTCTCACCGGTGAACCCGGATGCCGCGAATGTTCCTAACCCACCTCTTCCGGCGAGCGAGCCCCAGCAGCAACTTCAGCAGCAGCCCAACCCTGGTCTCATCCCCCAACGACAAGTCAGCCAAGTCAGCGCCATGTCCCTGCAGCCCAGCAACGGATCCCCGTCGATGAACGTGATTTCCCCCATCTCGAACGACAGCGGAGTAACTCTGATGCCCGAGGGCCAACAACAACTCTCCCGCTCCGGATCAGCGGCTGTTCCCTCTCCGGACTCCAGAACTGTCAGCCCCGAACCAGTTAACGTAGCTCAGCGACTTCTTGGGTTGAGGATTGACGAGGACATGGACAATGGTGATCATGACGTCGATAAGGACCTCGACAGCAAGAAGGGTGAGAACGACCACCATCACGACCACCATCATCATCAGTGGAACGGAATCGCAGCCACGGACAGTGTAACGGACTCTAGGGCCGTTAGTCCGGAACCTACGCTCCTAGATGAACACCTGCATGGGCCTATGACGCCGCCGCCTACCACCGTCAGCTTCATCCGCGCACAGGCGCAGGAGGTGCATGTGCATCGGTCGCCGGATAGGCATGTGGGAGAGAATAATATCTACGATGCGACACCGAGACAGTCGATTAAGTCGCCTGTTCTACCGCAGAGGAGGGATTCTGTGGAGGAGGGGGAGGATGGGTACAATTTCCCCAAGACCCAACAGGAGGAGTCAGTTAATACTGGGAAGGGGGTTAATGGTTTGAGCGATATTCGTAAAGAGTCTCCTGATAGTAGGAACAGCCATTTCAGTGTGGCTCCTATTGATGAGGTTAATCACGAAGTCGAGAAGGCAGCTGGACCTACCCCAGCTCATCAAGCGCCGGTCGAAAACGGAGATGTTCAACAGGGAAGAGCCGTGGGACTAGACGAAGTAGAGAAGGAGGACCCAGTTATCCCAGGCCATGTCCATCATGTCGAGCAGCAGCAGCAGCAGC